CGATCTGATCTCTCTAAACAGCAACAGGAGGAGCTATGCACCCTGTTGCTCAAGTGGAAGGACGCGTTTGCTAACCATGATGAAGACTTTGGTCGGACAGACCTGGTACAACACCGTATCCATACGGGTGATGCAGCGCCCATCAGAGAAAGGTACCGACCTCTTCCGCCTCTGGTGTATAAGGAAATGAAAAACCTACTTGCAGAAATGCTTGAGAAGGGGATAATCAGAGAAAGTTGTAGCCCATGGGCTGCACCCATAGTTCTGGTGAAGAAGAAGGATGGTAACTGGAGGTTCTGTGTGGACTATAGGAAACTCAATGCCGTAACCCATAAAGATGCCTTTCCCCTTCCAAGAATCGAAGAGACTCTAACAAACCTGACCCGAGCCGAGTGGTTTCCTACCCTTGACCTGGCTAGTGGCTATTGGCAGGTTGAGATGGACCCCCAAGACCGAGAGAAAACTGCCTTTACAACCCCACTTGGACTATTTGAGTTTGAGCGCATGCCTTTTGGCCTCTGTAATGCACCAGCAACATTTCAGCGCCTAATGCAACAGTGTTTAAGTGGCCAAATGGCGGAGTCCCTATTGGTGTATTTGGACGACATCATAATATACTCACCTGATTTTTCCTCTCACCTACAGCATTCCAGCAAATAAAAAGCCCAAGCCCAGGAGGGAAGGGAACGTGTAATAGCGTACGCCAGCCCAAGTCTACACCCAACCGAGAAGAATGATGCTAACTACAGTTCGTTTAAGCTAGAGCTTCTGGCTCTAAAGTGGCCGGTGACTGAGAAATTCAGAGACTACTTGACTGGAACACAGTTCACAGTATACACAGACAATAACCCTGTTGCTCACCTGCAGACGGCTCGACTGGGTGCTGTGGAACAACGCTGGGTCGCTCAGCTGGCTTCTTTCAACTACGACGTCAAGTACCGCCCAGGTAAAAGCAATGCTAATGCAGATGCTCTGTCCAGGTTTCCAGTTGACCCCATCCCTGCCAAGCTTGCAGACCAAGAGTGTGAAACACGAACAGGCGTGACCACGGCAGCCATTGAGCTAAACCCTAGAAGTGAGGACAGTGAGTGGGCTAGCAGCGAATGGGAAGATGCACAAGCCGGTGATCCAGACATACAAGTGACTAAGAGGTATGTAGAAAACCAGACTCTACCGACGGGACCAGAACGCCGAGCCTTGTCCTGTAGAGCACAGATTGTTGCAACAGCGGAAAAGACTTCAAGTTGAAAACAAAATATTGTGCCGTAAGGTTACTGATCAGCATACCATGAAGTATGCTTCCAGGTGGTGTGTCCAAGCTCAAGGTGTGAAGAGGTCTGGAAAAAGGTCCATGAAGCTGCTGCCCATGCTGGTGTGGATCGGACCCTGGCCCGCATACGACAGCATTTCTATTGGCCTGACATGGAGCAAGAGGTACGCCATTTCCATTTGGGTTGTGTTGCCTGCAGCCTCCAGAGGAAAAGAGTAGAGCCTAGGGCCCCTCTTAACCCGATAGCTGTGTCATACCCTCTTGAGGTTATGGGGCTAGACTTCTTTCCTTAGGTCAGCCAACAGACCGTATTCAAAACATCCTTGTTGCCACGGATTTATTTACACGCTACTCTTGGGCCATCCTCACACATGACCAAACGGCTCAGACAACAGTAAAAGCTCTGTGGACACATGTAATACAGCCTTTTGGCTGTCCAGCTCGGTTCCATTCTGACCAGGGACCAAATTTTGAGTCGGCATTGATGAAACAGCTCTGTGATACTTATGGTATAACTAAAAGCCGCACAACGCTCTACCATCCTGCAGGAAACGGTGGGGCAGAACGCTTCAAACAGACCTTGTTAAACATGCTCCGCTCTCTAGAAACAGAGAAGCAAAACCTTCCTGTGCATGTGGGACTTGGTGTCGGTCCCCAGCAACTACGCCATGACATTGGTGGTTGGATACTAGACCACCAACAGAGACTTTCACTAGCGTATCGTATAGCTAGACAGAAAATGGATAACGCAGCCTCCAAAAGCAAACACTATGACAAAAGAGCTAAAGCTATGCCACTCTTACCCGGAGAGAGAGTATGGGTACGCAACAGAAATCGACGAGGTCAAGGAAAATTGTGTACTTGGTGGGACCCTGAACAATTTGTTATTGTTGAACTAGTGGGCAATAAAGGGTTGGTGTATAGGAGAAGGGGGGCCGTGAAAGAACTGTACATAGAAATGCTTTGAAAGTCTGCTTAGCTCCTCCAATAGACCCCAACCCACCGACCAATGGGCCCGCAGCAGAGACACACTGGCCACAAGGTACAGCATTCTATGGGTTTTCTCCAGCCCCAGTGGTGGTCCCGGCGCAGGAGCAAGGACCAGAAGTAGCGCCGCGACGCTCAAACAGGACTAACCTCGGCCAGCCACCTGCTCGTTATAGGGAAATTTAGGTATTCATGTTGCAGGGACTGCCAACATTAAAGAGTGGAGGGATGTCACCAGGGGGACATTGTGGTTTCTGTAAATTATTAGTTTATTATATTTTAGCATGGTTTGGTTTTACATTTTAGCGGGGTTTGTTTTATTACATTTTTGCATGGTTTGTTTTATTACATTTTTACATATTAACCCACCTTTCAGTAAACTACATGCACCTGGAGGGACTAATCAATTGCAGAGGGCCCTGGCCAACCACATTACACAATGAAAGGACCTCCCCTCTCCAATTAACACAGCTGCTTTAAAGGACACTAAGCACGGCATGAAAGCGGGAAGCCACAGGAGGGGGAAGCCACAGAAAGGGGAAGCCACGGGAAATCAAGGGAGAGGACGGCAAGACAGCGGACAAGCAGGCAGGGTGCAACGAGGAGAGGAACGAGACGGACTGGACACCCCACCCAGGAAAGGAACGGAACCGGAAACAAGAAGAAAGGGCAAGACTGATCAGCAGCAGTGGCTGGTCGAATTCTTAATCTTTTTTAGTACTTTGTTCCAGCTGGACTTTTAATACAATTGTAGTTATTTATGGGTTTTTAGTTAATGATAAAATCCTCCTTTTAAACCATGCTTTTAAGTCTTGTGATCCATGCTGTTCTTCCTCTGGTGAACAAGAACCTGTTTTTATGGAGACCTAGACTCCGCAACTAGGTGGCGTTGCTGGTACCTTTTTTTTATTATAAATGTATCTTATTTTTTATTAGATTTTAAGTCCCCCGCCTCACAGGGCTGACAAGTGGAACAAACTGCACCTGGAGAATGGGATCCTGTACAGACGGACTGATGAAAGACAGCAGCTCGTCCTGCCGGCAAATAACAAGCATGTGGCAATGAAACATCTTCATGACGAGATGTGGGAACTGAGAGGGTGTTACACCTGGCTAGGGAACGGTTTTATTGGCCTTTTATGAAGAGAGAGATAGAAGACTATGTCACTCGAAAGTGTCCATGCATAAAACAAAGAAACCTGTCACCCACACGCGTGCCCCCATGGGTAGTATAACTACTAGTTCTCCGTTGGAGCTTGTATGTGTTGACTACTTGCATCTTGAGACCAGTCGAGGACGCTACCAATATATACTAGTGATTAGGGGTGTAACGATTCATTTTAACAACGATTCGAATCGCGATTCATGGACGATCTGGGTTAAGTTACGATTCGATTCGACTCGATTCAGTGACTTGAAATCAATTCAGTAACTTTACTGGACAGTGCAGGCAAAGTTTCTGAGATCCCCGTTTCTTGTAAGGAAATATTGGATATTATAAACAAGCAAACAACAATTAATGGCAAATGTATTAACCTTTTATTTGAATCAAGTGCCATTTTCAATGTAAACATGACACATTACACAATGTTTGGATCAATTCACAGAACCACATTGTAGGGTTGCATGTCTTTACAGATAAACTTTCGTGCTGGCGAAGCCTGAGGTGTCTGCAGAGCTGGAGTTACCTGCTGCTGCTGCAGCGGTAACGCTGCTAGAGGTGCCTGACTGTCGGCGTTGTTTAATCCCACGGCGCCTTAGTAGATGGCTGGAAAGATTCGTCGTGTTTCCGTGGTTTTTTATTTGTCTTCTACATATTCTACAAACAGCGACCGACTTATTTAGAACCCCTCCGTGTTTGCAAAAGCCAAAATGTTTCCACACGCTGGACCGATAAGTTAGTTTGTAAATGTCTTGCTCGTAGTCGTCTCCGCCACGCTGTGTTTTGTTGTTCAGAGTTTCGAGCGGCTGCCGCTGCGTACTGATGACGTCACAGACAGGCAGACTGAATCGAGTAACGTTTAACGTGTCTAAAGTGCTAAAAAACCAACAAACACACATCCATACCGTTTTTGTACTTCAATCCAATGTGCAGTTTCCAAGTATCGATACAATCGATTATGTACCATTTCAATCGATTTGTATTCGATATATGTCGTCCGGAATGCCGATTTGCGGAGCACAGATCGATTCAGTTGGATCGCAGGAATATAAATCGATTAATCGATTCACTGAATGAATCGTTACACCCCTAATGTGTACTGAAGTGGGACTGTGTTAAGATGAATTCTTACAAATTAAGAAATCTGGAGGAGTTACCTTCCTACAAAAACAAACTGACCTTTTAAAGACGATTTGGATAGGTTTTCTAGTTTCAGTATTCCTGTTTGTCTTTATCTAAATAGGAAGGGTTAGTAACTGCATTACATAAATTCCAACGCATTTTGTATTTTTTTCATGTGAATTAAAGTGCATGTAAAACAGAAGTTCTGAATCATCAAATCAGCTGCGGTTAATAACATTTAGGTAAATGTAATATGGCCGTACATTGTCATAACTGCTGGAACACAGGCATTTTAAAATTTTCTGTGTAGTGAAAATAGTTGTTAAGGAAAAGATCTGTAAATCTGGCTATTTCCTTACTACTTCTCCCCACCCACACACTCACTTAACCAATAATAATATTGAATTAATTTGAATACAAATAAACGATATCTCCTCAAGCCAATCATGAATGACCAACTTCAGTTAAACAAGTTTTAATAATTGAATTTTAATACATTTAAAATGGAACAAACCAAAAAATATAGTCTGAGCATCGTAATGATACATTTTTACATACACTGCATCAATGGTCCGTTAGCATTCAGTTAATCAAAGCCTACAGGAATTAGTCCACACTAATCAGGGGCTAAGCGAAAATGAATATGTGAGTAAGAAAAAAAGTACAAAAATATTTTGAGGTACTTTGACCAAATGCTGTAATAACCCATTATTCAACTTTACGCAATTCAATTCATCCACACTTGCTCCTTCATTTAACAGTCGAGGCGACTGCTTTACATTTTGGATTCGCCTCTGGGTGGCGTTGTTATCCTGTTTTGGGCCGAGTCAAGTGTTTTTTGTTTTGTTTTTTCTGATTGAGCACAATTTAAACAAAATCTGCTTATCTTCGTTACTAATACGGACAATTTGAAGAAAGAAAAAAAACGTGTGAGCATGTAAGCTATGTTTACTGCTTTTTCTGAAGTTAATAACATTTTGTCTCTTGCCTGTCTCCTGTCCGGACAGAGGGTGTTAAGTCTGTGGCTGGACCAGCCAGAGACTCCAGTTCCACTTCTCCTCACTTTGAAAATTTCTGCATCTCTGCAAAGAAGCCGAGACAAAATGAATGTTGAAAATGAGATAACAAATCACAATGGCTGCCTTAGGGTTTGGGTGGTTGTCTTTTACCATTGTCAAGATCAATGACTTTAGCGAGAGTCTTCATTTGTACCTTCTCTTGCAGCAGGTTGTTCTTAAAGTCTAAAATCACAAAGGACCAAATTTAAAACACGCAATCGAGAAGGTTGCACATTTTTTTTCTCACTCATTTGACTCACCAAACCTTCTCTCCTCTCGACTGCATGCGCTCACTTCAGTAACGCCTATCTCAAAGTCTTCCGAGCTACTGTGACTTCTGCTGGACCTAACACAGTAAGAAAGAGACACCTGTGTGTGTGTGTGTGTGTGTGTGTGTGTGTGTGTGTGTGTGTGTGTGTGTGTGTGTGTGTGTGTGTGTGTGTGTGTGTGTGTGTGTGTGTGTGTGTGTGTGAGTGAAAGGGGAAGACCCTGATCATGTGAATTGTTTGTGTGTTCTCACCTCATTGCTGACTCCGGATAAAAAAGGAAAAGGAAAACTAGATGAGATTCAGAACCGTAGATTAAATGTGAATCTACAGTCAGACTGAGGTGCTGCAGGTCAGACCTCTGGTCCTCTGTCTTCGTGTGATGAGGATGATGATGAGGATAATAAAGGCCAGGAGCAGGAAGGAGGTGAGGATGTAGCCCAGTGGCATTAGGAAGTGTTGCCTCTGGTCGGGCAGAATCACTTTGATGACTCGCGGGGATTCGTCCTTCTTGGTGTCTGAGAATCACAGCAGTTAGCATTGAATATTTCTTTGTTCTTCGTCTATTCTCTTTTCTTGTACAGACAGACTGTGTCATTGTGAAGCGAGAACAGACCTCACATTGTACAGATAGCACATACCTGGTGAACGACACAGAACTCCATTGAACTCCAGTGGAGAAGTTACCTTCCGAATTCTTTCTCAGTCATATTGTGTTTAGCCGCACTAGCAGTGCTAGTTAATCCTATGTGTAGTTCAGACTCAGTGTGTTTACATGATGGTATCATATCCGATACGATAGGTGGCGCTGTTTTCATTACAACTAGTTGTGATACAGCCATTTCCGCTTGACCTCTTCACCACTACCAACAACAACCAACAACATCAACATTACGAGAAAGATGGCGAACGGAGAGCAAGGTGAAGCTACATCCCTCTACTATTTTTGCATGATGTTAATAGGAGTACAGCGAATGCGAATGGCGCTATTGGCTGATTTGATAACGGAGAGAAGACGCCGTCGGGATCTCAAGCAAGTCCAGTTCCTTATCCGATTCACCGTTACATGCCACAATAGTCGAACTATCAACTGGATCGGATCGAGTTATCCAGGGGTGTTAGTCGGATCGTAGTCGGACCGTGCATAGTCGGACAAAGGTGTTTACATGAAACGATAATTCGATTTCAGTCCGACTAAGCCAGTTATTCAAATCCATGTAACCACGCTGACTGAGTTTGAATCTTGAATTTTGGCACATACATTCATGTTGCTGAGGGAATCAATGGTATTGAATTTGGTGGTACTCTGAGGAAAGAATGATCTGAGAGATGTTGCAAGATGTTGCTGTGAAACACAATGTTTTGGCAATGTTTTAGACTTGAGTCTACATTTTCGGAGACTCCCAACAAATACCATTTTGAGTGGTTCTGTGCATGATGTTTCATATGTGTGTGCATTTGTTGCTGCACGTGTACAGGTGTGATGAAAACTATTGTGCAAAGTGTTTAATTTCACAAGTAATTACATTTTCTGGCTGTAGAGAAAAACCTGGAGAGTTTCCAAAGGCATTGAGGAATAATTAAGCATGAGGTGATGTGTGGATTAGGTGATATGTGCGGTCTTGCAGAGTGTTGAGAAGCAGAGGGGTGAGGGAAAGCCTGGTTTCACTTTTCATCGTTAAAAAAGTGCAAGAAGCAGCTATGGACCTCAGACTTAACATATTTGAGCCAAAATGAGATCCAGACAGAAAGTCATGCTGTGATGTACTTTTCCTGGCAGTAAAACACAAAGAAGTGAGGACGAGGAGGGAAGGAAGGACAAAGCCCCATGGAACAGGGGAGGAGAGCCAAGGGGGGAAATGAGAGGTTTCTCCAGAGCTTTGCCTCACACAATGAAGTTAGTTTATCCTAATACAAACTCAAAGTGCATACACCTACATCTCCATATCCTCTCCTATGTCATCAACAGATTCCTAAATCTCTTTATGTGTCCCTGCTGTCGCGTGGACTAAGTAAACTTCCTGCTCTTGTCCACAAAATAACCAAAAGCTATTTTTTTCCATAAAGGAAGGAAAAAAGAAGGTGAGAAAAGTGATGGCAAAGAGCGAGTGACCACACCTTGATGAAAACAAACAAACCTAAGCGAGTGGGATCCTTCAAGGAGGGAAATCAAAGAGAAGGCTGGACAGACGGAAGAGAGAAATGTTTCCAGGATGTCAGCACAGGGCCAAAGTCAACAGGGCAGCAGACAGTCAGAGACGACAAGACAGGAGCAGATAAGATAAATGACAGGGCCTCTTCTGTCTGAGAGCACAGAGAAGAAACCGTGCAAAGTCACTCTTGTTCAATTTAATTCAATTCATTTTATTTTGTATAGCCCAAATTACAAATTTGCCTCAGAGGACTTTGTAGTCTGTACACATGCAACATCCTCGGTCCGGGAAGCCTCACATCAACACAGGAGAAATTCCCCAAAAAGCAACAACAATGTTTTGTGGAGTACAAATCATTTCTGCATCTTGTTTCTAACCAGCAAAGCTGCAATCATACTGCTTTATAACAGCTTGCAGAGTTAAAAATTAATTGTGCCCAAAGACTGTATCCGAAAGATTCCTCAGAGATGAGATCAGACTAGGCATGCTCCACCACACGCGCGCACACACACACACAGATTTGACCACAGGCATTTTGGATTTCCAAATCTCTCTGAATGAGTTCCCCACATTTATACATCTGCCATTAAAGCATTTGCTTCAGTTACCTTCTGGTAACACCGACACACGTACCGAGTAAAAGTTCTCATTCTACAAGAATTTGAGGACCCGATGTTCTCTCTCTCTCTCTCTCTCTCTCTCTCTCTCTCTCTCTCTCTCTCTCTCTCTCTCTCTCTCTCTCTCTCTCTCTCTTTCTCTCTTTCTCTCTTTCTCTCTTTCTAATATGACCTCAGGGAAAGAATTTCCTGGGTGTATCAAAGCGCTGAGCAATGTGAACCAAGCTATTGGTAAAGGATAAACAGGCAACATGCAGAAAATACAAATACTTAGTCAAACTAACAAGAGAAATCAATAAAACTAAAGTATGTTAAGTAGTGCTATAGCAACAAAACGGTGAAGAATGAGTAGAAAGGTTACGGGGCTGAGGTTTGGAGGACTGGGCTGTGAGGCAGCAAATGTGATTTTAGGCATCTCGACAATCTATATAAATCTCATGAAACCAAACAAAAGTTAAGAAATAAAAGCTTTTCTTCCCCTCCCCTCTCCATTCTGTCTACACTGTTACTTTGAGCTACAAGTGTGAAGCAGAGAAGAGTCCTGGCCTGAGGACAAAAGGACAAGCCACAGAGGGAAGGAGTGAAGGAAACAGATGTGTTTTGTTTATTCTCAATGATCATATGATAGTTTGTAGTTTGAAGTAGTTTGAATCCACGTCAAACTAAGTCATAAAACAGTCTCTCTGCTAAAGCACTTAGGCTGACTCACTGTAACTAGAGCAGGAGGAGGTGTGTGTTACCTTTGTCTTCACTGGGCAGTGCTTTGGCTGGCGGTATGGTCTGAATCACTGGTGCTTCCACTGTTACCTGAAACTCTCTCCTCTCATGGAGACCACAGTAATGGTGGTGAAGGTGGCAGGAATACATCCCCTGGTCTGTGAGCTGTGTGTTAAAAGTTGACAGACAAATATACACACACACACACACACACACACACACACACACACACATTAAAGGCCACTGTATGTGCCTTCAGAGAAATCATTTGTGATCCAAGTGTAGACACCAACAACAAATAGGTAGCTGGAGTTTTAAAATGCCAGAATACATTTTGTGTAATGTAAACAATAATAATGGAGGATTCTGATGTTGATCAAGATCCCTATGAAATCCTTAAACCCCTGTTGAAAGAGTTCTCCCTCATTCTCCTAGGACATAATAGTCAGTCACTGGCAGCCTAAAAGCCCTCCAAACAGTGGTCACCTCTAGCTGGTAATGGTCTAAAAACAGGCAATTTTATCTACATTTTGCTTATTTTTCATCATTGAGGTAAGTGATTCCTCTCTAAGTATACTTTTCATTTTTCATAAAACATATTTCCGTATTTTGCATGTGTTAGGGAATACTTCTTATTGTGCTATTATCATTACGCAATATACTGTTTCATTGTCCTGGTTTAATTGCGTTAAAACAGGAAATCTTCTCCATCCAAACTGAGCAACTCAATATATGGGAGGAAGGTCCAAGACACATTTGCATAGACTCATACGTTATCTTACGCACACATACATTCACCTGTGTAAGCTGTTTTAAACCTCGAGTCGACATACCCAGTTTGGTGTACAATGCCTTTTGCTATTACTGTTGTACTACTGACCTTTTTAACAAACAAGTGTTGACTTATCATGCTTACATAGTTCACTACCTCAATAAAAGGAGGCTGCATGGGGAAGTCCAGTCGGAGTTGGCTGTGATCGAGTGAAGAGTCTAGTACTCTAAGATTCTTGACCGGGCTCCCCGTAAAACTTATAAGTCGACTGAGTGTCTTTGTTTCTCGTGCTGTGATTGTTCTCTGGTGTAATCAGCAGGGTTCGTGGTTTCTAACTACGACCTAACAGCATGTATTTTGCTAAATATAGCCTCCTCGTGTTTAGAACAAATACCTATTTGAGCAAATGGGATAATTTGACAACACTTAAAACTTCCAATTTATCAAAAGAATCATTAAAAAATAAATGATTTTCCACTTTTTGGAGTTTGTGTTTCATTAGAGCTGATTGATTCTTCTTTTAAGCATTTCAAACATAAACGATGAACAGAAGTGGTGTGGCAGTCGGGCTGAGTGTGCCTTCATCTAACAGGAAACGTGGCCCGTCCCATCGCGTCGTCTTCAATCTCCGGAGCCCGGCTGAGCCCGTATTTAACCCAAATTGAATGATTGGTGACCACTGTCAAAAAAACAACGGGTACAATGAGATTCCTTTCAACTGACTGTTGACCTTTCTCTGCTTGTATCACTACAAATAGCACCAAAGGGGCCAGTAGGAAGATATTTTAAAGTCTGTTACTGTTGTTATCCAAGACATGAGGTTCAACATACTTTGTCTGCTTACCAATTTTTCCCAAAAGAGCGATAAAGAACTGCATTACCAATGGAGGTTCCGTGTGTTCTAGTAACACAGTTTGGGGAGACTGCAGTGGAAAGGGTGTAGCTCTTATGTTTTACTAAAGCTTTAAGAAGTTTCCAGTTCAGTGTTCCTTTTACACACACAAACCTGCAGATCAGATATGGAAAGAGAAAAGTCTCCCTCCGAGAAGGCTTGATTGCTGAGGTTCATCTTCCTCTGGAGGAACAGCGGCCCGTAGCTTCGTTGTTCCCCCGAGGCGTACAGGTCCACCAGGCGGTCAGCTCGGTCGCGGCGGACTCCCGGGGACTGACGGTCCCAATGGACCACCTGGAAGCCACCAAGTAGATATTTCAGTAAATATTACATGGTCCGTTTGAATCTAATGTCCCAACAAACGAGTTCATGCATCGCACTTGCTGATCCTCCTCCTCGTCGCTCCAGTCCGTCCACACGTTACGCCGGTTGATGCACGGCAGCACCACAGTACTGCCGAGCAGCACCACGTACACAGCCTTTTGGCCGTCCCAGAAGCGCTGCGCCTTACGACCTTATGTGTGTGGAAGGGAACAAACAAGGTCAGACTTGACGTTGCGATGTGTGGAAGATGCTGAGGGTCCGTGCGGTGTGATACGCACGTGACTTAGTGACGTTGAGTTGCACTCGGACTGTCTCGTACAGGTGGCAGTAGAGGTGGTGGAGGTTACAGGAGTACAGGCCTCTGTCATTCATTGCTACGTCTGTAATCACACACAGAATACTCAGATATGCTGATAATCTCACTTAAAAAGAACCGTAGCACTTTGCTGTAGTTTATGAGTTATAAATTGTTTGCTTCACATTCCTTCCACCTGGTCATTCTGGAATAAAACATGTTTTTCTTTAGTGGTCAACTCTCAATGATAATGTTGTCTGGAAGTTTCCCACAATGCACTTTTCAAAACAACAGTTTTTACGAGAAAGGTTAGATGCTTTGCTTAAAAGAAAGACCACGTCTGTGTTTGAAAGATTGATATACAGACTGTTGAGTGTGACCTTTGATGACGAGGGAGAAGTTTCCATCGCTGAAGGCTCTTGGGCTGAGGCCAACCCTACCCTGGTTGTAGGAGTTGTAGATCCTCTTGTCCCCTGTGGAGAACATGTCCAGCACCCTCTCCATTGCGTAATCTGGACTGGCCCGGAACATGTCCCAGTGGACCACCCTCTGCCTGTCCCTCACCCTGTCCCTGGTCCACACCATGCGGCCACTCACACACTGCAGCACCACCCTCGACCCAGCGGAGGCGCTCACATTATACCCTGCCACCACCACGCTGCTGCTGTCAGACTGAGCAGACACTAAAGGGCAGAGAGGGTGTTGAGTGTACACACTGGGACAATCAGAAAGAGGTATAACTGCCCAAGCACATAAAAAGAAGCATACCTGCAGTGAAGAGGCAGGCTACAGGGACTGAAAGAAAGAAAAAGTATGGAAAGTGAACAGCATGATCACTAAAACAAACCCTGTGACAGCCATTCCAGGTGATGGTAAATTGTGTAGCTCCACCATGTTGGATGGTGCTCTTAATTCAGATGTAACTACAGCTGAATTTGGTTTATTCAGGTCACTGAATATGCATTTAAATTGATAGTCCAGTTCTTGACTGAAGATCATGATGTGTAGTTGAGAAAGTGTTTATGCTTTTGACACAGAGTTAGTAAAACTGACAGGAATATATGTGTCTGTGGAAGCGTGAGGCAGACAGGAGAAGTCTGGCTTTAATATTAGACGAAATTATTTCTATAATGATTTTAATCATATCTGTCTCATTAGGTGTCAGCAAATTAACTGAAATGTTTTCTAAAACATTTAAATAAGCTTAGTTTTGTCGAAGTCTTAAAATGTGGAGCTTAAGCAAAATCATGAAAGACTACTCATTTAATCCTAATTTATACCAGTTGTTTTGCACATGTTTGGAGCTAAGTTTTTTTATAAACCCTATATAACATTAAGTTATTGTTTTTGCATGCTAAAGCATATTTTTGGAAAACAATGCTTCACAAATCAAACTTACTGTGAATCAAGAGGAGAGCCTGAAAAATGATGTCGTACCTCTCGGACTTCATGTTTACTAATGTAACGGTTCTGCTACTCGAGCCTGTGCGCCTGGAAGACGGCCCCGAGGGTAATAAAACACTTAAAATATATTCGGATCCATCCGTAGCAGGATTCAATTCTGTCAAATTTTTTTAGTTTAATTAGCAAAAGGCATCGCCACACTAGGACTTCAACACTGAACTAAAACAGGACTGAAGTGAACTGAACCCACCCGGAAAATGATACCTGACACCATTTGAACGTGCCCTCTCTTCCCAGAACTGAAACAGTACAAAGTACTGTTCTTCATGCATTCCTATGAATTACTATACTCCTTAATACAATTGTTAAGACGACTTTAATGTCGCTTGATCATTCCTGATCATAATAATAATAACACCAATAATAATAATACCAAAAATAATAATGCTTTAGGTTTTTTTTCTTATTTCCTGGGTTCATCTTTTTATTCAGCTCCAACACGACCCATAGTGGCTGGTTATGTGCGAATTTTAATTCAAAGTTTGCCTGAAAGATAACTGGTTTTATTAATTTATTAATCGATCCTATTTCCCCATAAAATAAGTCTCAAATACTTGCGGAAATGTCTCCCCAAGTTGCTGCAAACTCACCTTAAAACCTGCTAAAGCTAAAACTAAGTTCCCATACCGGGAGTCGAACCCGGGCCGCCTGGGTGAAAACCAGGAATCCTAACCGCTAGACCATATGGGAAGGGACGACTGTACCCGTCAGTATTTGGTATTATAAACCTAAAACTTAAATCATGTATTACATATACAGAAATAGTTTTGATAGATTAAAATATCAATCACGTAGTCATGTATCCAAGTATCACAGTGTGTATTATGTGACATTGAATAGCCTATTGTCTGATTGTCATCCGTTATGATTCTAATCTCATTAGATCGGTATGCATTTCTGATCTAGAACAATACAATTGTCGTTGGAGGGGGAAACCAGATTTATTGTAGTGACAGATTTTCTTGAGCCACTCGGCAGGGTGCGGGGGGAGATCCTGTTCCCCACTCGCTCACACAGCGATTCCAAGTTTTTTTTTTGTTTTCTTTGGGTGAAGTTCCCGTTATTAGTTGTATACTTCATAAAACACAACTGCATCTACATTTAGTTCGTGATCTCGTTGCGCATCTTGGTAGGGGTAAAAACCGTGTGATCTCCCCGTCACCCATACTACCCCGCGTCAATTTCACATGTGCCCCCTGTCACAATAATACACACTGCCATCCGTGGCCAACTTGAGATTTGCTCCCAGTACAGTGTTGTACACAAATATCATGAATGGCTCCTACATTTATATTAAACCCTAAATTATGTTGCATGTAATGTTTAACCATTCCCAGCTGATGTTAATCTGTATTTAACCAATTATAACATTAAGCTGCCCAATAATGTTGAATGTGAAGATTCCTCACATTTAATGTCCTATCAGTGTCCAAGTTATTTTTATAGCAGGCTATACAACGTGTATTTTTGCTAACAATTTTAGGATTGCCTTAATGTTCAATGGCAGCTTTGTGCACACGGAACCGTCGTGCCACATGTGTTGACCACGGACGCGTTTTGATGTTACATCTCAGACGCTTCCTCTCAAACAAGCGAACTCATTCAAGTGTTTGTGATTGGAGGTAATTTACTTTAACTATCGCAATTATTAAAAATACTATCGCGGAATGTTGTTATGTGTTCTTTTGAATGTAACAATAATATAAGAATATAGACGATAGACTCCTCTGAGCTTTTTTTGTTCAGTTGCAGCGATTGGCTGCGTCAGTTAGCAAGCATGCTTCTGTGTATCGCAGCTAACGTTAGCTAGCTAATCTCCCGGTGTCACGGCAAACTCGAAGCGAGGATTCGCCCTGGGTTTTGTAATAACTTTTTCTGATCGTGCAACAGCCTCGTGTAACCACTGCTCTCTTTTGCAGGTCCTGAGTAAAACGTGTAAAGATGTTTTTGACAAGATCGGAATATGACAGGTAAGTACACCACAAACTGCTTTGTCATTTATTGAGCTCTCCTCAGTGGGAACGAGCGAACATTTAGAGGACACAATTATGTGGATTAAGTGGTTTCAACAGGAATTTGTAGGTTTTGACTACTTTAGGAATTCTGAAAGTTGCTTATTTTCATCCCTTGTTGTAACTTCGTTGCTGTAGGTATTTAGCAAGCAGCTAGCTACCTACGTCGCTATAAGTTAGCATGCTTTCACTTTCGATATCACTATTTAGAAGAAAGCATTTTATTTAAACGGCAATCATGTCGATTAAAATGTTCTGTTCCGCCCTAGATAGCCAGCTAAAATACAGATTCTACCAGTGTCTTTAACTTTAAACATAACATATTGCTGCAACATATTTATTTGCAGCAGTTGTTTGTTGTTTTCCTGATATCTATTATTGATAATCATTGTTTTCACATTTATCTTGTAGAGGTGTGAACACATTTTCTCCTGAAGGGCGATTGTTCCAGGTTGAATATGCCATAGAGGCCATCAAAGTAAGTACTTCAGACTGAATTACACAGGTTGACTAATGGTCCTCTTTGGTGTGATATTGGATATGAAATTCCAAAAAGAAATGTAATGTCCATCTCAAAGCTCACACATTTTCTTTTTTTTTATTGCCTTCCCAGTTGGGCTCCACAGCCATCGGTATCCAGACATCAGAGGGGGTTTGTCTGGCTGTGGAGAAGAGGATCACTTCCCCGCTGATGGAGCCGAACAGCATTGAAAAGATTGTAGAGATCGACACTCACATTGGTGAGTAGTGGGATAAAAGCTGATTAAACTCAAACTTGGATGCAGACCGTGTGTTAACTCTAGAATGACATTTGTCAGCCTCTGTCATTTTAAGTACATAACCATTGGGTAAGCTGTCATTGTACTTTTATGCAGCAAGCTGTAGTGGTATGTGAGTGTGTTGGGGGGGATGAAATGATGCTGAAAGGTGAACATTGAGTCGGTGCACCTTTGTCATATTGTTTAGTTGATGGGATGCTTTCTTATGCCTTACATATGTGATTCATAATATTTTGAATCATAATGTTTGCTCTGATAACATGGAATAACACAACCTTTCTCGCAGTTTGACCATGCAGATTGTTGCTTAACGCTTATAGCATGTGCTTTTTCTTTCTTTCTGCCTCAAAGGCTGTGCCATGAGTGGCTTGATCGCTGATGCCAAGACTCTAATTGACAAGGCAAGAGTGGAAACTCAGGTATGAATTCTAATGTTTATCTTAGCAGTTCGCTAACCACCTGGTGTTATACTTGTGACTAATCTGTTCATATTGTTTTTCAGAACCACTGGTTCACGTACAACGAGACAATGACCGTGGAGAGTGTGACTCAGGCTGTGTCCAACCTGGCGTTGCAGTTTGGAGAGGAGGACGCCGATCCTGGTGCCATGGTCAGTCACTTGGCACATTTCCATGCTGAAATAATCAGCCTCCCTCATGCTAATGTTTTTACTTTTGTCAACGGCATCATGTTTGATGGTATTCAAGTAACTATCTTTGCCTGTAAGCTTCACTCTTTGTTCCTCTTTGCCAAATATCTATACAGAGTCGACCATTCGGTGTAGCACTTCTATTTGGGGGAGTGGATGAAAAAGGCCCCCAGCTGTATGTAAAGATTACTATTTGAAATCACATCATATTGTATTTGCATAGATAAAACATGACATTTTCAACAGGAGCATATTCACTTCTTAACTCCTTAACATACTTTATCTTATATTTTTTAATGATGCAGGTACCACATGGACCCATCAGGAACGTTTGTGCAGTGTGATGCTCGGGCCATCGGCTCAGCTTCTGAGGGAGCACAGAGCTCTCTGCAAGAAGTCTACCACAAGGTATAAACCACTGCCTTTTTAAATTGAACAGAAAAGTTGTGATGTTAATAAGCTTCTAACCTGTGTCAATGGGAATAGTTTTTCGAAGTATACAGAAATTTTCATTTTTTAGAATGTTATGAATTAGTCTAAAGTAAAAGAAATGCATGAAAATCACCAGGACTAAAGAATTGTGTATTTTCTGTTCGTTTCCCTGTTAAACGTGCAGTCTATGACATTAAAAGACGCCATCAAGTCGTCTCTCACCATTCTGAAGCAGGTGATGGAGGAGAAGCTAAATGCCACCAACATCGAGGTTCGTTATTGGCTTTACTTTTTGGGCATATTTTTGAAAATGTGTACTTGAAATAGATTAATACACAGTGCAATTATATTTAGTTGTATTTACTGTTTTCAGTTTGCACATTTCTTCCACAGCTCCTGTGGTTTCATGTAGGTTTTCTTAAATCTGTGTCTCTTTTGTAGCTTGCAACGGTAGAGCCCGGGAAGACCTTCCACATGTATTCCAAAGAGGAGCTGGAGGATGTAATCAAGGATATCTAAAGCAGAAAAGACCTGAGAGTTCTGGGCAGGAGAGGAGAGGACATGGGAAAACACCTGGGTTCAATATCACAATACAACCACATCTTTTCATCAGATCAGCACATTAATACCTGCTGCATTCAGATTTTTGTTTGATTGCATAAGAGGTTTCTATTTTTAATGTGCTAATTTGCTTCTTTACTCATATCTGTACAACTAAACTACAGTTGTGCAGGAGTCTGACCAATGCTTAAGACTGAGTCGGAGGAAAACAGTGTAAGGGAGGGAAGGTTTTTTTTTTGTTATGAATCAATACTATTAAATTGTTGTATTCAGAAAGCAGTCTCCTTACTTTATCTTGTTTCAAATGTCCCCTATTGATCAAAAGGAAAATCATTTATTATGCACAAAACAATAGTGCCATAAGTGCTGAGGATTTTCTTTTTTAAAGATGCATTCCCTTTTTCCACTTACTTCCTGCTTCTAGTGAAGGGAAGGCACAAATGTTGCACAATGGGTTTTTTAAAATGTTCACTGTCTTACATCACCACTGGGCTTTCTATATTGGTTGGTTTAATTTCACAAATTTATTTGACTACTTTACCAACTTCTTCATTTCTCTAAATTTGCATTTTTATCTTTTCCAATTTTAATTGGGAAGCAATTTCTCCAATAAAACTACCCTAATATCCACAACACATTTTATATTTAATTTGTAATACAAAAGTAGATTAAGTGATAAGATCAGATAGAACTGTATTGATCCCAAGGAAATTATTTTGTCCAGAAAGTAATTCAAAGATTACAACATAAGTAAAAATGGTAACAATATTAACGTATAAATAATGGAGTAATAAAAATTGAGTGCATATTAACTAATAACACTCACGCAAAATAAAATAGCGGTATGTAATTCCACTTAGATCGCTTAAGTATTATTGCTTATAGGGCTTTATTAACAGAAACTGCCAAAGTAACTGCCAACACATTGCCTTTTCGGATAACTACCGTAATAAACTAATTATATTCATGGGAAAAGCATCAGCCAGACCTTTTCTACTGCCCTTTCTTGGAATTGAGATTCGAAGAATAAACTATACAATAAAAACGCGTCCTTGCCTTCGCGCTGTCTCTCCATCAGGGGGCAGCGTCACACCAGAAAACACCTGACCCCGCGGTAATGGAGGAATCCTGGCGTCCAATCAGAGCGCAGGTTATTCTGGCGCTGGCCAATCTTCTTCCACGATGGATGGGCCGTTATCGAAGATGCATTAGGTGATACGGGGATCGTGTGGAGCCGACTGCTGGGACGAAAAATCACTTCGCGGAGTCCAAAGTTGGGCAACCTTCTAGTAAACATGACGTCCATCTCTTGCATTTTGCTGCTGGCGTTTTGTTCGTCTGCGCTGTGCACGAACTTCCACGGGGGAGACAACTTGTCAGCTTTGAGGAGGCTGCAGCGGAAGTTTGTCGGTGATGAGGAGCGACGTAACGTTAGTTCAGAGAGGTCGGAGCTCTCGGAACTCAGCGCAGGACTGAATGAGCAGACGTGTGCAGCTCTGCCGGGAGTGGAGTCAATCCTGCACAACAACACCCACTCTGTAAGTGACTCGATCGGCCTTCTTCTAAGTCACCGTTACACAATCAAACTCCATGAGGTGAAACATTCTTTGGGTTCCTGGTTGTTAGGCTGCAGTTAAAGCTAACTTGCATGTGTGGGATGGTCACTCGGCGCATGGAGAAACTCGTGATGTCCGCAGTGTAAACAACTTCACACTCAAACAGCTGATCACGTAGTAGATGACTTAGCACGAGCTTCGTAACTAGATGAGAGGGACTGTAGTTGGGATTTGACCACTGTGTGTGTGATGTGAAATACTGCAGTAAATCCGTCTGCAGAATATCTAAAAATGTAAATGATGAAACATTGTAATGGTACTTTGCCTCCGGCTCTTTCTTCAATCAGCTTGTTTTGTCCGAACCACATCTGAAAACATTAAGATATTCTGTAACTGTAATATATGACAAAGAAAAACATGAAATCCTAACATATGAAAGACGCTGAGAACTGCAGATTGATGCTGCAACATGTTGGTATAGAAGTATATAGAGGAAAGAAGGAAATATTTATATCATGTTATTAGAAATACTTCAGTGCCTCTAAAATAATTTTAGTAATGAATACAACTCAACTCCCTTACACCCTTACTTTGTGTGCATTATTTTGGCAATGCTATTGTGACAGCAATACCAAGATCTGTTGACAATTAATTGATAAACCAGTGGATCAGCTGCGTCGTCTATGCAGCTCTAATCCATTTCACAATTATATGGAGAGGAATAAGATCAATATATATTGGAGAAGGTGGAAATAGAAAATGTTTTGATTGAAGATTTACTGAAATTATCTTATTGTTTCTATCAATGTCACTCTTTTAAAAAAATCTTAATTAAGGTAGCTAGTAAGTCAGATCCATCAATCCTACTAATAATGAAAGTTTAAAGCACGATGTCACTTTAAAAATGTATGTAGTTGTGCTCTTCCAATCTGTCGGCTGATACAATTGACACATCCATATTGTTTTGACTCTCTTTTCTTCTTCTAAACATGAACTCTTTTGCGTCTTAACCCTGATCCCACATAATAATAGACCAAAGTGCACCTTCTGTTATCGTAGTACGGAACATGTTGTAATAGGAAGCATAACAAGAACAACCCAGATGTCCAGAGGAATGTTCAAGAATAACAGCTTGATCCAAAGCTTCTGAGTATGCAGCAAAATCCAGGTCAAATTTTTGTTCATTTGAAAAACAAATGTGAACCTGAAATGTTTTGTTGTTGAACATTGAAAAAAAATAATAATAATAATTCAAATTCAAAATAAAAAATAAGTGGATAAAAAATATTTTCGGGATGACTATAGTTTTGACTAAGCTCTATTTTTTGGAATAAAATATATTTTTCAATCTTCACTGTATTTAATTTTTTGGTTGCAGATTTTATATTTTGAGATTCAAAACTTTTTTTCGCGTTTGGATCTTGTTTTTCACATTCAGACTCTTGACCCTGATGTGGCGTAGGGGGAGGGGCATCAACTGGGACGGGCGTGTAATCACGAGTGACAGCTTCCTCAACCGCATTGCCTTGAGGAGGTGTAGGCACGCGAGACCTAAGACTCAACCCTTTCTCTTCACTATATTCAAGATTGGATGTAAAACCATTGAGACCAGAGACAAAGTTAACCAGCTATCTCAGAATGAACCATTCATCAACCACACGTGAATTTCTGAAGTCTCCCACTTCCACAAACAACTGTGAATTCAGCGCAGCATCCGTGCGATGGCGCCTGAGTTCGGTAGAGTTGGAAAGATATTCACAGATTTGGACTTCCTGGTTTAATAGATGGTCAGCGAAACGTTATTGAAACACAAACGACACCTCTCTGTAACCATGGTGATGTCGCTTTGCAGACGGTCCCGGTTGCACATTAAGATCAATGTGATTAGTCCAGCTCGCAGACTAGTTCGTATTCCTAAAATGATGGTTAATTGGGGTTGTAGCTGGTCGTCTATATCAGGTTACAGAGAGGTGTCGTTTGTGTTTTAACAACGCTTCGCTGACGAGCTATTGAACCGGGATGTCCGAATCTGTCCTCAGTCGTATTTGTTAAGCTGTCACTCATGATTACCCCCCCCCCCCAGTTGATGCTCCCTTCGGAAAAAAAAGTTCCGAACTCGAAAAAAAGATCTGAAAGTGAAAATATAAGTTTTGAATCTGAAAATATAAAATCTGCAACCAAAAAATATAATACAGTCAATATGAAAAAATATATATAGAAGTGAAGATTGAAAAAAATATTTTATATGTGCTGAGTCAAAACTATATTCATCCCGAAAATATTTTTCATCCACTTATTTTTATTTTGAATACAACATTTTTCAATGTTAAACAACAAAACTTTCAGGTTCACATCTGTTTTTCAAATGAACAAAACTTTTGACCCGGATTTGGCTCCATATCAGAGCTCCACAGGACCTGTGGTGAGTGTGTGTGGGAGTGTGAGAGATGGATAAAGTTGACATTTCATGACGCCTGGGCTCAGCTTTTGAGCATGATAAAGATTAGTCTTGCTTCCTAAGACTCCTCCGTGTCCTCTGGGCCAATCTCCCTCACAAATATTCCCGACGTTGTTTTCTAGTGGTTTTAATCTGAGTGGCAATGTGGGTTTAGATTTCTGTTATCAAAGTTGCAGGCCTATATTGATCGGGAGTATACATTCTTTATTTTTTATTTTGCTGTATAAATTGCCTAATCCGACAGGTCTAATTACGATTCATTGCTATTTTCGGACCTGATAAAGGACACAGGATGTGGTTTGTCAGCCAGTCCGAGCTTTGTCTCATTTTATTTTGTATGCTTGTGCAAAGTTCATTCAGTTGACACGGTAGCTTGCCGTTTCTTTCTTTTTTTTTTCTCTACCACTCCGTCCCATCCTTGATCACCCTCTGACCGAAGGAGCGTAGAGAAAAAAAAAAAGTTCTGTTTCAGGGTGAGAATGTAACTGGGAGACAGCCAGCTGCTGGTGGACCAAGAAAAGCAGCTCAGTTGATGTTACACAATGAAGAGAGAAAGGGCGTGTAATGGAAAGTACGGGTTTGGTAATGTACAGTGACATCCAATGAGATCCCCCAAACTGGTGAAAATAGAGAAGCAGTAGTAGATTCAGAGTGTTAATCTATGTTTTTAATGTATTTGCATGCATCAGGACTCGCTCAGTCAAGCTGAAGTATTAACTAAAAGTAAAAAGTATAGAATTAGGAATGCAGGGATGGACAGAACGCCTCAGGTCTCCACAGAAACAAGCTGCCAGCATGGCTAAAAAACAAGCTAAACAATTTATCAAAACAACTCTCTTGAGTGACTAATTGATGAAGCAACTTAGCGATGTTAACACCATTTGACTTGTTATAGATAGACACAGATTTAGCTGTCATTTGGCAAATCCGAAAATAATCATCATGGTTCATCCTTGTCTTTATGTGACAATAATAATCTAATAGACATGAGTACGACTCGGCTTTCGTCTCTGCTCGCAGAACCTTGCCCGGCAGCAGAGGAGTCGTTTACACAGCTTCATGTGTTCAGATGAGAGCCGAGAGAGCTTGACCTTCTCTTCTGAAGGTTTATGTGTGTAAACACGACTGAAGCAGAGAGGCCAAAACCCGGCGCACAGGGGACAAGGAGCTCATTGTGTTTGTATCTGACCTCTGGGAGAGGACTTTACTGTGCTCCCACCCAACAGTGTGTATCTCCATAGATGTCTATGTGTGTTTATGTGTACGTACGGCAGAATGTGTGAAACGCACTTTGCATCATTGCTGTTCCCCTCTAACGCACTGACACTCTCAGAGTGTCATGAGTTGTTGTGCAGAAGCAGCTTAAAGGAGCCTTTTCAGAGCAGATGTGAACCCTTTAATTCCATGTGATACAGCATGAGGTCATGTCTGTTTTGTGAGGTCACGTCCAGCCCAGTCAGACATTTATCTCTATTTGTTTTTTTGCTGACTAATAAGTGTCTTCTTTCTCTTTTCCCCTTCTGTTCAGCTTTACACTGACGCCTTCTTCCAATGCTGCTCTACTGTTTTCCAGTTTAATGAAAAAGAGGAGCCGACCCGCTTTATAATGCAAGTGTTGATCGTTTGGGTTTCCGTCTCAGTGAACTGAAGCCGGTCCGCCCACTCAAGGGACATGGAAAAAAACCCGCTGGTCATGTTTAACACAAAGTGGCAGAAACATTGAATAGATCCTGAGACAATAGACAACATGACACCAGTTGACCTGCAGTGACGTTGGCAGTAACTGTCATTGTCCCCACATTTCAGGGTATGTTTCTTTAGGTCCTTAGATACCCTGAACGTGCATGCATCTTGTGTCGTTGTGCTTTCTCTTTTTTGTATCTCCACACCCATAAGCATGTCTGGATGGGAGGGCAGAGAAATATTCCCACATTTACCCACATTTCTAGTTCTACTCATGACATTGACGTCAAAAGGTATCACACAGTCAGTAAGCCGGATTTGTTTTGCACCCAGGTGGAAGCGCGACGACGACACTAAACATTACATTCACACACACATGCTGCTTGCCAAGGATCTGGCCCTTCTTAGTCATGTCTACCACTTCAAAGACAGAAAGGGAGAAGAGCAGGAAAACTAACATGTACTTTGACAGATCTGAAGCCAGAAACTTGAGCCTTTTTAATGGTCCAGACTGTCGAGAGTAGGGAGGACAGGATACATTGTCCTTTGCATCTTTTAACTGATCAACGAAGTGAATGGGTAAATTCGAGGAAGCTCAGCCGATTGAGAGATAAAAGAATAATTGGACGCAGACATGCTGTGATGAAATGATTTATTCAGAGGAGAAATGGAAAGTTGTTTTCACACACTTGGAAAGCTGGGGCCCGGCCAGTTTCCACTGGACCTATTTACAAGGAGTTTCCAGCAGGCAGACCTGGCCGTCTCCTGTGGCTTCATTGAGCTCTATGCAGACTCTCCGCGACTGGGCTCACCTTGTAAACATCTCTTCCTTGCCAGCAGCGAGAGGAGGTGAGAAACCTCCGGTGGCTTAATACGTCGCTGAATTGACGGGACACTTGTGGCTCCGGATGAATAGACGGCAATGTTGTGTGCAGTCAGTGTGAAATGAGAGTTTAGGTCTAAACTCTTTCTACCCATCCCTCTGACATCATGTAACACTGAGACATTTTTAGATTTCAGTTCAAATTTAAGTCCTGTATAGCTTGGCAAATGTTTTAATATACTTTTTTGTATCCTGTTATACCATCAGCCTACATTTACTGTACACACAGTGAGTGAGTGTCTTGCTGTGCTCGGCACATCGGTAATTGTTTTGTTCTCTGACTTGTCATTGAGGCCAGAATTTAGGTCACACGCGCAGTGTGCATTCAAATGGCCGAGTTACCTTGGATAATAAGAACAATTCATTCTGTCCTCTCGATCAGCAAGTGTCTGAAACACACTCACTGTTTTTTATATTTCAGACTAAACTCCTGGACTGCGTGTGCGTGCACGAGCGTGTATTACTCAGTCGATTTCCTGACCAAGTATTATGCAAACAAATATCAAACGAGTCTTAAAGATGTAAAAATAAATAGCTTTTTGCATGAATATCCCATTGATGTCTTTTTTGTTGCTTTTTTCTCCTTCTCTGCCAGTTTACTTTCAAAGTGAGGACCATGGGTTTACTGTCACTGGCCTGGGTGGGAGATGGATCCGGGGTAAGTTTGTTTACATGAGTGAAAATAAATTACTTTATTAAAAATAATAGAAAAAGAATGAGTGATCTCATAGTGATGGCTGCGTAACCGCTGCTCTCTTCTCCCAGGTTCTGCTGGTGTTGACGACGTTCCAGGTGCCGTTGTTCATGATGCGCTTCGGCCAGTCCAACCTCTACAGGAGGTGAGAAATACCCAGAGGCTGATAAATGGAGCTGTTGATCATTTTGGTCCTAGCCTGAGGTTCTAATGGCAGCTTTGTCACCGTGTCAGTGAAGACTATGGGAAGACGTTCAAAGACGTAACTCACTTGATCAACCACACCTTCATCCAGAGCGAGTTCGGCATCGCCATCAGCCCGGACCACTCTGGCAAGGTGGGTGTTATTTATTTCTTTTTTACACTCTGAAGTGGAATCTTACACAGAAATCGGTGTTTGTTTTGTTTGGCTTGTAAGAAAATACATATGTTTGCCTCGTAACGAAGAAAAATACTGTCAGAACTAATTAGCGATCATTCCTGATGCCTCTGTGTTTGGTTTTAGGTGATGCTCACTGGCGATGTGTCAGAAATCGGGGGGTTTAAACTGTTTCGCTCGCAGGACTTTGGACTGACCTTTGATCCCACTGACCTGCCGTTTGAGCCTCTCATTCAGATGATGTACAACCCCAGAGACTGCAACGTACTGCTGACACTCAGTATCACGGTAGCAGCTTTTATTCCTCAAACCCAACCTTCAAGCGCTTACGTTCTTGATTCGGCGATACACACTTTCTTTTACTGACCAAGCCTTTTCCCTCCAGTTGGACCTGTGGCTGTCTGAGGACTTTGGTGCCACCTGGAGGAAGATTCATGACAGTGTTTGTTTGGTCAGATGGTGAGAAATGTAACGCAACAAATGGCATAACAAATAATCAAGTCAACAGTAAGACTGTAAGAAAATGATCTGAAAATGATCTGTGTGGGAGTTATTGATATTTGGTCTGTCCTCTCTACAACCCTAAATACATGATATGTTAACTTGATACATTCATCTTTAATGTTGTCTTAAAAGGCAGAATACAGTTATAATTCTTATTAGCCGGACTGATTGATGTACTGATTGATGGAAATTGGAAAATACATATTTATTTTCCATGGTACAAAGAGAGTAGTTAAACAGTCAATTTAGCTAGACAAGACTCAAATAAAAAATATATAGATACAAAATAAATCCTACCTAAATCAACAGAAAATAGCTCCCCCTTCCCTTATAACTTTCATTACATTACATTACATGTCATTTAGCTGACGCTTTTATCCAAAGCGACTTTGCATTCAACCATAGGGTACAAACTCAGAAGAACAAGAAACAAGAAAGTGCAATTTCCTCAAATAAGCCAATTTACAATTTGCTATAGATGGCGTTATAAGTACAATTTAAGTGCTACAATTTGTTAGTCTTTTAGTCGAGGTAGAGTAGAAAAGGTGTGTCTTTAGTTTGCGGCGGAAGATGTGAAGGCTTTCTGTGGTCCTAGTGTCTTCAGAGAGCTCGTTCCACCATTTCGGAGCAAGGACAGCAAAGTCGTGATCTAGTCGAGTGTTTTGCTCTCAGTGAGGGAGGGACGAGCAGTTTTGCAGATGCAGAGCGGAGAGTGCGGGTCGGGATGTAGGGTTTCACCATGTCCTGGATGTAAGCTAGACCCGATCCATTCACAGCATGGTAGGTATTCTCCTGATGTTGTAGAGCGTGTATCTACTGGATCGTGTCGTCGCAGTAATGTTGGGAGTCAGGGAGAGTTGGCTGTCGATTGTGACGCCGAGGTTCCTAGCGGTTAAAGTGGCCGTTAACATGGAGTTGCCAAAGTAGACAGTCAAGTCCTGGGTCGGAGAGTCTTTTCCTGGAAAGAGAAGTAGTTCAGTCTTGTCGGGGTGAGGAGAGAATTAGTTGTGTGTCATCGGCATAGCTGTGGTAGGAGAAGCCATGCGAGCGAATGACAACGCCGAGAGAGTTGGTGTAGAGCGAGAAGAGAAGGGGACCCAGGACGGAACCCTGAGGAACTCCCGTAGTAAGGTTCCAACACAGATCCTTGCCATGTTACCCGGTAGGTGTGGCCGTCGAGGTAGGACGAGAGAAGGGAGAGAGCAGAGCCTGAGACACCAAGTTCCTGAAGGGAGGAAATAGGGATCTGGTGGTTGACTGTGTCAAATGCAGCAGAGAGCTCCAGAAGGATGAGGACAGAGGAGAGAGAGGCGGCTTTCATACAGTCTTTCAATAGATGTCAAGCACCTGTGAGTGAAAAAGAAAACGTCGAAGTGGGATTTTAAACAATGACAGGAAGGGTGTGAAATAACCTCTACCATCTTTGTTGCCACAAACCATCCATTTGCATCTTTATTTCTGTGTTTGTTTTTGAGTTCTTTGTACATCCTTTGTTGTGCTAGCTGTTTTTTTTTTCTCACCACATTTTGGATCTCTCTCCTGACTCCTGTTTCATTCGGGCATAGGAGTTCATGTGAGGTTGTGGTGTTGGCCTGCGGTTGTTAGCGTTGCATTGTAAGAACAAAGTGATAACTCTGTGTGACTACAGCTGTTACTTAAGCCCCAACTTAAATGGACTGCAGGGAGAGCTGAGACTGCTGCCAGACTGAATCATGACTCAGCAGCAGCAGGGGGAGGGGGCTGGTCAGTGCAGAAAGAAAGAAACTGTAGATTATTCAAAATTCTGCACTGCCTGAGAGTGTGCTGATTACCCGTTATTTTGACAAACCATGTGCAGTCAGGCATAATGATACACCAGGAAACATCCACTTTAACTCATTTTATTGTACAAGTGCAACTGACTTGAATTTACACAATGTTCACCAGTTAGTTAGTTAATTGAAGGCCCTGTCAGTATTACCTCTCATCTTCTCAGACGTTCATATCATGGAGTAAATAGTTAAAACAAATACCCGCAATTGTTCGTGATATTTCCGTCTATTAATTTACATAATTTAAAACCAATTAGCAGCTGACGTAAAGGGTTTCCGGGTTAACAGCCTTAAAGGGAACATTTTGTACCAGTAACCATGATATGGAATTTCTGCGGATATTTATTTTATTAATTTCAGAATATAAAATAAATGAAAAAAAGTTCTTTCTCCAGAATCATTCCTTCACTGTTTCTTTTTCTCACATACAGGGGTAAAAAAAGCAGCATCTACTTTACAGCGAACTACAATGGATCATGCAGTAAGTGAATTTAAGTCCCCTATACATTTAATATTCTGTAATACATCAAGTGACTCCGCCTTTCTTTTTGTTAGATGATAAAGGAATGTTGGAGTTAAGGAAGACGGTGGACTACGGACTAAGTTTTCAGACCATCGCAACAAGAGTTTACTCTTTTGTGCTCGGAGGACGCTTTGTTTTTGCCTCCATCATGACTGGCACGGTGTGTTTGCGTGTGTCTCCGTCATATGTGTGTCACATGCCACCAGCCAGTTATTGTAACGAGATACAGATTACCTGTTAACAGCAGGTGAAAATAGGATCTGATAGGATATTTAAGAAGGCTTAACATTTGAATTATAACTCTGTACAGCAGGTATGACAACATTTTTGTGTTTGTGTTAGGGTACAGAACGTATGATCCACGTGTCAGCAGATGGAGGTGAGGTGTGGAACATGGCGCAGCTTCCCAAGGTTAACCATGAGCAGTTCTACTCCATCCTGGCAGCCAATCAGGACATGATATTCATGCACGTAGACAACCCTGGAGGTCAGAAACCGAGAGAGAAAGATACTGGAGCTGCAAAAGGTTCTCTGTGGGGATCAAAGAGCACAAGTCTCACCCAGTGTATAATCCAAACCTGTGTGTATATGTGTCTACCATGTTGACCAGACTCGGGTGTGGGAACCATCTATGTGTCTGATGACAGGGGAGCCGTGTTCTCCAAGTCCCTGGAGCGCCATCTTTACACGACCACGTCAAGCGACACAGACTTTACGGCCATTACTTCCCTTAGGGGCGTCTATATGACCAGCGTTCTCACAGAGGGTGGGTCAGCTCACTACATAATATATGTTCTTACACAAGATTAATCTACTGGCTATTCTTTGAGTACATTTTTAAATATGACATTAGCATATGTACATTACATTACAAAAATGATCAATTAAACTGCATTGCGTACTTAGGTCACACTAAATGTGATGTTAAAATGGTTGTACGTGTGTGTCGGGCGAACTAGTTGAAAAGCAGTACCGTCTGCAAATCAAAAATAATCTCCACGACTTGATTGAATATCTCATCACATGTATTAATTGTGATGAGACATGTTAGTGAGTTGCAAAGGGGGAGATGGTTGAAAACCTATTTCTTCTTGGTGCGCCAATGTACAGTACATGTGGGAAGCAACGGAAGCAAAGTGTGAGTGAGCAGCTGGACAAACTACTTCACATTGTGCATTTCTCTCTGGCTGTCCATTTTTATATATTATTAAATATAAGTATTTTTGACAATTTTAGAAAGGAGTCCAGAAACTTTTTGACATGTTTGTATTTCATTGTCTGCTGTCTATAAAGGTAAAATAAAGTGAGTGGGTAATTGCAGATGATGTAGTGGAGACAGTGATCACCTTTGACCAAGGAGCAAAATGGCGGCCAGTGCGGAGACCAGATAACAGACAGTGTGACACGGAGACCTCCACCAACAGGCCAAACAGGGTGAGACACACATTACAAACCTGCATTTGTAAATGCATTGAGCGTTTAACCTGGTAACACCATTACCCTAATTATTGTGTCTTTACAGTGCCGACTTCACATCCACGCCTCTTACAGCACCACCATGAAGATGAACGTCCCCATGCTGCCTCTCTCACAGCCCAGTGCTGTGGGCCTTATTCTGGCTCATGGTAATGAAACACAAAGATGTCTTCACCCCGAACCGTTTCACTGCATGGTTAAATGTCTCATGAGAGCATTGTGTTTATGTCTCTTTAGGCAGCGTTGGAGATGCAGAGTCAGCTCTCTCCCCTGACGTGTATGTGTCTGATAACGGGGGCTACTCGTGGCTGTGGGCTCTCAGGGGCCCCCACCACTACGCTATATTGGACTCTGGAGGGCTGCTGGTGGCTGTGGAACACACAAGCTCACCTGTGAACCAGATCAAGTGAGTATAACTAAGTATAGTAGATGGCTAACGTGGCTATTGTAGGATTTGTCAGTTTTACTGTTCACTTTTTTTGCTCTTTTCTCTCCTCCACATCTTTAGGTTTTCAACAGATGAGGGGCAGTGCTGGCATACGTACAACTTCACCAGCGACCCGCTTTACTTCAGCGGCATGGACAGTGAGCCCGGCTCTCGCTCCATGAACGTCAGCCTGTGGGGCTACAGGAATGACTTCAGTAAATGGGTGGTGATCACAATAGACCTCAGGAAGCTCCTCACCAGAAACTGTGAGTGTCTGAAGGAATTGGGTGCAACAGGAATTGTTTTTCCTTTTGACTGACTTAGATTATACAGTATGTATATATGTGCAGGTACCGAAGGGGACTATGTCGCGTGGCTGGCTCACTCTACAGACCCCAGTGGGTCTATTGATGGCTGTGTGCTGGGCTATAAAGAGACCTTCTTACGCCTGAGGAAAGAGTCTGTCTGCTGGAATGGGAGGGGATATGCCACTACTAAGAAGTTGTCCCGCTGTACATGTACAATGGATGATTATCACTGGTATGTCTTTGTGAAATACACATTTATATATAGAGCAACATGAGATATAGAGAACAGATGTACACAAATTTGTGAAAATGCCATTTGAGCTTCTGTTGTGTCTTACAGTGACTTCGGATATCACCGGCCAGAGAACAGTTCAGAGTGCGTGGAGCAGGAGGAGATGAAGGGTCATCCTCTGGAGTTCTGCTTAAATGGGACCACCGAACAACTTCAGACCAGCGGGTGGGGCATGTTTTTATCTTTGCTTTGCACTCTTCTGCAGCTTTAGTTTTAAGAAACTCAAGCTTATACTCAATTCAATTCATTTTATTTTGTATAGCCCAAAATGGCAAATTACAAATTTGTCTCAGACGGCTTTACAGTCTGTACACATGCAACCTCCTCTGTCCCGAAACCCACAAATCGGCACAGGAAAACCCCCAAAAATGAAAAACCCTTCCATGGGGAAAAAGGGAAGAAACCTTAGGGAGAAAGTCAGAGGAGGGATCCTCCTCCTCTAACACATCATCGATTTTATACAAATTATTGAAAATGTATACATAATTATGTATTGTTTATGTCAAGCCTTACCACTGTATGGCTAAAGGTTATGGTCTATGTCAGCGGTTCCCAAACCTTTTTCCTTCCATGTCCCAACCGGGTTGGCGCACCCCCAATTCACACTTAAAAAAACCCCGCAACAAAACGTTTTATCGTCATATATAGAGCGCAAATAACCACAACACGCATGACAATAACAACATCAACACAGGCTGAATTAAACTGCAATGAATTACAAACGATCCCCAACATTAAAAAGAATAGGCTCCAAAATAGATAAAATAAATAAAAACGGAAACTTTTCAAGTGCGACAATAAAATTAGCCTACACACGATCCACAACTTTTCAAGTCTAGCGCAAAAGTCGCTCAGCCTGCAGAGAGAGAGAGAGAGAGACTCGGTCCAAAAATCCACAAGTGGCTTTCGTTTGAACTGTAACTGCAGTGCTCCATCAGATGACAGCTCGATCCGCTGCTCCTGCTCGTGAAATGACAGCTGTGGGACGGGCAGAGAAACTTCAAATGGATTGCGAATCCAAGCGGCAGATGTGTCCATAGGTGCAAAGTGTTTCCATAGCTGCTCGGCGAGTTGGTTGAGGTGTTCAATTATGAGAGTTTTTACATGCTCACCCAGGTGCACGTCATTTTCCCCCAAGAACTCGTGAAGCCTAGGGAAACACAGGTGTGTGTTCCCACTCACACAACTTGCCCAGAACCGTAGCTTCTTTATCATGGCCTCAACCCTGTCTTGTGTGTTGAACACAGTTACACTGACTCCCTGCAGACTTAGATTGAGATCATTCCGAGCTGAGAAGATGTCCGCTAGATAGGCGAGCCTTTTCAGAAAATCTTCGTCATGCATACTGGAGGCCAAATGAAACGGATTCTCCTCAAAAAACTGCTGCAATTCGTCCCAGAGTTCAAAGAGCCTTGTCAGCACTTTGCCGCGGGACAGCCAACGCACCTCTGTGTGCAGCAGCAGTGATTTCTGTTCGCTGCCCATCTCATTACATAACAGTGTGAATATTCGTGAATTTAGCGGACGAGCTTTAATGAAGTTCACCAGTTTGACTGCGTCGTTCAGCGCTGCAAGTAGATCAGCTGGCATGTTTTTGGCTGCAAGGGCCTCTCTGTGAATACTGCAGTATGTAACAAGCTGATTGATGGGCAGACTCTCCTAGTATGAGCTATAAGCCCCGTGTGTTTCCCCGTCATTGATTTTGCCCCGTCTGTGCAAATTCCCACACGCTCCCAGTCGATGCCATTGGTCCTCATAAAAACGTCAATTAAATTGGTCAAAAAGATTTCCTGTCCTGTTGTTCGGGTAGCAAGGGGCCGACAGAACAAAAACTCTTCTTGTACCGATCCTTCAAAAAGGTAACGGACATAGAGATTGGCCAGATTTGCAACATCTGTAGACTCGTCTACTTGCAGAGAGTAAAACTCACTTTTCTTCACACGGCTGAGTAGTACAGCCAGGATGTCTTCAGACATGGCATCAATGCGGTGCGACACAGTGTTATTGGACACAGGAATCATGTCCAACTTTTTTGCCTCTTTCTCTCCAATCATACACTCCACCATTTCTTTGTCCGCTGGCAAACACACGTCTTCGGCCATTGTGTGCGGCAGCCCCTTTCTCCCTACTCTGTAACCGAGCAGATATGAAGCCCGTAGTGCGTCTTTCGTAGACCCAACGCATGAATGAAACTGCATTTTCTTTTGGCTTTTCTGCGACAGCTGCTGTCTTCCTCTACGTTTCTATCAAAAAATAATATATTATAGTTTTTATATTTAAAATAAAAGCGGAAGCAAAAGGAAATGTTTACTTACTTTCATGCTTTTTTATTGTATGGGAAATCCTTTTATATATGTCAATGGAAAAATCCCACTTAAAAAAACTGACCGCCATTATATTTTTCCTCTCGCCCACCCCCTGGTCGCAGTTCGCGCACCCCCAGGGGGTAACTAAAGAAATCAGGAGTCAGGAATTTATTACCAAAATATGTTGGACATACAAGGAATTTGACTTGGTGGTTGGTGCATAAACATCAGACAGGACAATGGACAACAAGACCGATAAGACAACATGCAGGAACAACATTTAAATTAAAAATAAATAATAATAAATAAAAATTAAAAATTTTAAAAATTAAAAATAAAGTGCACCAGCAAACCGAAAGTGACACATGTATGTGTATGTGCATGTGAAGTGTGAAGGGAGTGACCAGTGGGGGATCCGGGCTCTGTTGATGAGCCCGACTGCCGACAGGAAGAAACTATTTGTGTGGCGGGAGGTCTTAGTCCTGATGGACCTTAGCCTCCTGCCAGATGGAAGGGGCACAAACAGGTTTTGTCCGGGGTGAGAGGGGTCGGCAACAATCTTTTTAGCTTGCTTCAAGGTCCTGGAAAGATGGCACATTGTAGCCGATCACCCTCTTTGCATGGAAATGACACGCTGCAGCCTTCTTTTGTCCTTTGTTGTGGCTGCAGCGTACCAGGCGGTGATTGAGGAGCAGAGGATGGACTCGATGATGGCCGTGTAGAAGTGTACCATCATCGTCATTGGCAGGTTGAATTTCTTCAGCTGCCTCAGGAAGAACAGCCTCTGCTGAGCCTCGTTTGTGATGGAGTTGATGTTCAGCTCCCACTTGAGGTCCTGGGTGTTGGTGGAGCCCAGAAAATGGAAAGAAAAAAATGGAAGGAATCCAAAGCGATGACGGGGGAGTCACACAGGGTGATGAGGGAAGGTGGGACTGCGTTTTTCCTAAAATCTACAACCATCTCCACTGTCTTCAGAGCGTTGAGCTCCAGGTTGTTTTGGCTGCACCACGTCACCAGATGGTCAGACTCCCACTTGTTGGCAGACTCATCCCCATCAGTCCATTAAACCGGTGCTGATGGTCCGAGAGGCTGAGACTGCTCACCCAGCTTCACGTGCTGCTTCCTGTCAGACAGGAAGTCAGTGATCCACTTGCAGGTGGAGTCGGGCACATGCATCTGAGAGAGTTTGTCCTGCAGCAGAGACGGGATGATCGTGTTGAAAGCAGAGCTGAAGTCCACAAACAGGATCCTGGTATAGGTTCCTGGGGAGTCCAGATGCTGGAGGATGAAGTGGAGGCCATGTTGACAGCATCATCTACAGACCTGTTGGGGGAGGGGTTGGGGGAGGGGAGGGTGTGAAGCCTAGTTTATGCTTCTACGTTTCCAGAGACGCAAGGACACGCAGACACAAGAGCCCCTTGCACGCCTTTTCACCTCTTCTTGCGTGCGTCGATCCATTTTTCTAGACTAGCGTTGAAAGCTACGCAAGCCTCACGCAGCCCGCAAGGCTGTGATTGGCCTGCTAACTACATCCTTTCCGTAGTCTCACATTTCCGGTTTCATAGCATAATAACCGCCATTATTAAAACGAAGATTTTTTGCGAGAGAATGAATCAGATTGAAGAGCTTTTGTCGTAGGAAATCTGTAAATATGACCACTTATACAACCCGTCATTGGCGGACTATAAGGACGCATGGATGGCCTCCAATTCATGGAGGGAGATCTCCGCAAAGTTTGGAGGAGCTCTGGAGGATGGATCAAATCTGCAGTAGAACTCGTTCAGCTCGTCTGCGAGGCGGAGGTCATTCATGAATACAAGGCACATTCGAGTAAAGTCTTCCTTAGTTTTAGTCACTAGTAGTGTAAAAGGTAAGTTTTCATAGTTGTCTTTACATTTGATATTTAGCATGTTTCTATTTGTGTCATTACATCTCCTTCTGTCCGTATTATGAATCGTATCTTAAGCAGCTGTTTCATCTTGCCTTTGGTCTTTCCTTACATGTCGCTTGTAACATTAAAGCTACCGGAAGATTCCAGGGGACCAGTGTGAAGGAGGTTTTCAGCCAGAGAGGAAAGAGACCGACCTGAGGAAGATGTGCACCAGCAACGCCCTTTATCCAAACTCTCTGGTCAGTTCTGCTCACTGTGGGAATGAGGGCTTGCAGGTTTATCTATACAGTTAAACATGACCCACCGTTACCGGGAAAACCTCAAAATCAATAGAGGAACATACAATATTTTATTATTCAATCCTGAATTGGTTATCTAGTACTGTTGTAACATGAGCCAAGTGTCAGATTATAGCAGGGTAATCTCAGTGAATCTGTTCTTTGTCAATTAATTGGCTGTGAGCACATTTACAGCTCGGAGGCATAAAGTCTTTTGTCAGGTAAATTGCGGCATGTTTTTTACATTATATTACAGGTCATTTAGCTGACGCTTTTATCCAAAGCGACTTACATTACACTTTAAACCCATGGCTTTTTACATTTTGCCCAGGGAGCAATTAGGGGTTAGGTATCTTGCTCATGTTTTGAAAGGTTGCCTCCTGCATTGCGATTTCTTCACATTTTGAGCCATTTCTGTTTCTGTAACTTTAACAGACTGAAAACAGTTCACTGAACACCGCTGTCATAGTGATGGTTGTCATAGCGATCCTTCTCACCAGTGCTGTTGCAGGCGTTTGGCTGGTTAAGAAATATGTTTGTGGAGGACGGTCAGTTGTCTACATTTCATCAACACACAATATATGCACTCAAATATTCTCTGTGAATACTGTATTCCATCTGTTTCTTTTTAATATTCACTGATGTCATCATCAGGTTCCTTGTGCACAGATACTCTGTTATGAGGGAACACGTTGAGGCTGCTAAAATAGAGGGAGTTGATGATATTGACCCTCACTACATGGAGACTGGAAAAGCACAGGACAACGAAGACTCTGATCAGGTCTTGCATACTTTGTGTAATGCACTATATTTAGCTAAACTTTGTGATTATCTTTTATTTATTTGTGTTGTTGTGTCTTTTCACAGGACCTCATAGAATAAGGGACATTTATCCACACAAAGGCACTACATTTAACAGTCTTTCATGAGCACTCCTTTTGCTCCCACATGCTGATTTCTGCTCCTCACTTCTTGTTATCCCCTGATGACTGGAGGACTCAACAGCAGCTCACATTGCTTCCTTGTACTAGTTGAGTCTCCCGCAAAAAGGCCAACCGGTGGTTTGGGGAGGAAGATGAACCCAGAGCAGAACAGAACAAAGCCTCTGGAATCCCTAGAGTGCTTTTGTTGCTTCTGTCACAAAGAGTCCTGTAAAAGACTACGGAGTCTGAATACATGCTCTATATCCCCCATGCTGACTTCAGAAGATATGGACTCTTAAGAGTTAGGGAACATCCCAGCAACAGAACACACACAATTATTATCAGTATTTTAAACCAATATTCTCTCTGCTGTCTGTCAAGTAGTTTTTGTACTCTGTACATTTTAAGACTTGTAAAATACAGTCCTGTTGTGCATAGTGGCCATTTAAAAGAAAATAACTGTTCACTTCACCCGGTGATTCAAATTTGGCCACAGCATTTAAAGACTAGGCTTACAACTACAAGTTACCTTTATGTCACAGATGATTTAGAACTGAGCACTTTTCATTTTAACAGCAGCTACTGAGAGCAGCAGTGCCTCATTTTATAATAGTCACTTGTTCATATTTTTGCTGTACACATTACATACTTTACCTGATAGAAATGGACCAGAAATTGAATCATGTGAGGAAATTTAGATATGAACCTTTCAGTACAGTATTATGGCTCTTATATATAACAGAAATTACTTTTTAGTAGATCAAATATAATCATCAGTCAAAAGTCGTTATTCTTACATATGTCATCTTTTTACTTATTATCAATTCGTTTCAATTTGTAGATGAGCAAACTAAAATTGAATTGAAATAGACAAGCTAGAAATAAGTTTAAATACGTAGTAAAAGCCAAATTAGTGACTGCTAGTCCTTACTTTACATTTTTAGTACCTATTTAGACTTTTGGAAGAATTTTAAAAGGGGGCGCCATTGTTGTTGTGAAGACACAACAACAAACAATTGTTTTATACAGTGCATCTTTATACAAGCAGAATATTCTCCTGTATTTATGGTAAGAATGAAAGACTTGAATTATTTCCAAAGCACTTTTGTTGTTGTGTTGTGTTATACTTGTTTCCTTTTTAGCTGAAGGTTTGCCCATGTGAGTCAATACCAATATGCATTTGTCAAACAAACATCATCATCAAGCTAATCAAGTGTTTTTAAAGACCATGCTGGCCTGAACTGTAACACCATGCTCTTTGTACGGCTTAACATTAACAGTGTCAACCGTTTCAGAATTACACTGATACCGCTATTTTCAAAATACTAGTCTTATATTTTGTTGAATCCCAATTTAATAATCTCACAGATGTTACAAAACATCCACAATAAGATAACTAATTTATCAGATTGATGTTTGTGGTGGCCATAACAAGCATTAACTTTAACGTTATTTTCAGCTGACACTTCACTGTTATATATGAAATGTTGTGATGGAGCTCAACTGTTATGATTGACTGGCTGCCATTTCTATTATATGCAATGTAAGAACTGCAACTTTTGACACGTGCAGGTCTTATGGCCATTGCTTGTGTGTTCCAGCAGAGTGAGTAATATCCCAGCGAATAAGCTATTGTAATAAACTGGCCTGATAGAGTATTCTCCAGGACTGTTAGCTGTACTTTGTCAGCTATAAGAGTGGATTCATATGCTTGATGCTTCTTTATTTACACAACCGTCCATAAGAACAAATACGGCTACAGTATATACTGGATTTAATGGTTTATTTTTGCACTGTATCTACAGATCTGTGAAAAAGTTACATTTGTGCTCCTTGTATATCTAAGTGTTTAGGCCATGAGTTGTGATAATCATTCCATCTGGTTTTCTTAATTGTGAGAATGCTAGAATTCTAGAATATCAGAGATAAGTATCTCTGAATTAAACTATTCTGTAGCACAAATGTTTCATGACGATGTTTGCATTTTTTAAATGAAATTACACAATCTCCGAGCAATCCTTTTTATTAATTTTGGGGTTTTGTTAATGCTAAATTTCTATAAATATAGTAGAACTGTATTCTGTTCAAAGCGAAATACAGCCTAGTAAAATGTGAAAATACAAGTTTTTAGTGTGAAGGTGAGGTTATTTTTAACCGAGTTTTATGACTATTGCATTGATGGTTTAGAAGTAGTTAAATGGTATTTTTGGTGGCTTATACTGATTGTGTTACTGTTATAACCCTGAGGGAGAAAAATAAGGACAACAAACCTTGCTACACTCAACACAACTAAGGAGCTACACCGGGTTAAACAAGGATAAAACAATCATGAAATAAGAAAGAGCACTTTTAGAATAATTGCATTGCTTGCTTACTCAAGACTATGATTCATATCAATGTCTTAACCTAATACTGTTAGCAAGTATTTATGAAATAGTTTTGTGCTGTGAAGGGTTGGTGGTAACTCTTAGCTGTATTAATAATTTATCATTGTTTATATAATTGATACAAATTGTATACGCTTTCAGTTATAGGACAATGAATGACCACTGATATCTTTTTAACAACATTCTTAGCATTTGTAAATAGATATAACATAACACTGGCAAGATTTTTCACTAACTGGTAACCAAAAAATGTTTATCCGTATGTATTGCCTTATAACTTTTATATTGCAAGGGGTGCCACATCATTGGCACTGACATTGACTACTGTCACTATTCCATTCTAAGAGAGCATTAAATCTGTAAACTCGGTAAACTTGTGCTTTTGGAGGATGTGCAATTGATCAAACAGTCGGGGGCGCCAAACTCCTGGCCCGCGTTATTGTCCAGCCGGAAGTTGTTTAGCAACATTCATCGTTTTGAATCTGTAGTTTAGCAATGCTAACTGTCTGTTAGAGTGAGCTAAAGTTTAAAAGCCCAATATTAAATTGCTGTATGTATATTTACAAGACGTCGGCAGGTTGTTAAGGCATCAGTGCGTGTGGGCCAATGTAGCAGCTGTGAGGTAACGTCAACTCCCCACAGTTAGATATTTTTAACGAACGTATTGTTCAGAAACGAATGGAGCTAACCTTAGCTAGCCCGCTAAGTACGCTTTCAACAGCTCCGTCGTTACATGAGCTAGGTTAGCTAACACGCTTGCTGGTGGCGATAGCAGGTTTATTACCTGTCAATGCTAACGTTACACAGATTTTCCAGTCAACATGCTACTCAGTAGCGTGGAACTGTAGCTGTCGTGCTTTCTTTTTTAAATTAGTATTACATCCAACTAACGTTAGCTTGCCCATTCTGGAAGTTTGGCCTTGTATTTTGAAGACAGCGGTTAAGTTAACGTTAGATTAACTTAACTATCCAGGCAACTACCTGTCAAGCTAAATTCCTTACTATCCGTTTATCTTCAAACAAATTAGGCTATTAACGTTACATTTGTTACACAATTCAAGCTTAACTTGACGTTAACGTCACGTTGGCATCGTGGGTATTTGCACTACAACGTTCGCTAAGTGAAGACAACCGCGTTTTGTGGTGATCATAATACATATTGTGATTGCGACTTTAAGATTGTGATAAATCTGACATTTTATGATTCTGTATTTCAGACTTCATTCGTTTGCAATGAGCTCCCTCTCAGCCCAGCTTCCGGCATCCAGCCCCTCATGCAGGACACTACCTGGAGATGGGAATCAGGTACAGTTAGAGTAATGACCATATCAGCAGCTTTGCCTGTCAATTATCGAACATTACATCCAGTTCATAATAAGGGCAATGTCGTGGCACTACTCTACTCCCCAGGTACAACCAAAAGCCCCTCTCCTGCAAATTCTGCGTGTTGCCGGAGCGAAGGAAGACGTTTTCACTCTCAAAGAGGTGAGCTCTTCAGCGAAACGTCACGTTTTTTTAAGAGTATGCAGCCTGTTTTTCTTGCTTATAATAAAGGTGTTATCTGAGAAGTGGTCATTCCAATTTTCAGTGGTATTTTGTACTGGGTTCTGTTCTCAAAGGTAAAAGTTTGCCTTGTGGTTTCTAAAATCCAGTATTTTTTGTAGGTGATGCACTACTTAGGTCAGTACATCATGGGGAAGCAACTCTACGACAAACAGAGGCAGCACATAGTCCACTGCCAGGATGACCCTTTGGGAGAACTATTGGAGGTGGAGAGCTTCTCTGTAAAAAACCCAAGGTATACACCCACATCAAAAATAGTCAACACTTGAGTACACGTCCAAAAATATACATCCAAAATAAGGAGGCCCATTCTTAATCTCATGTTCTCTTTTTACAGCCCAGTGTATGAAATGCTCAAGAAATACTTAGTTGTGCTTGGTTGTTCTGGTAAGTGATGCATTTCTTTTCTGTTTCATATATTTATGTGAAATAATTATCTTATCCGGGACTGTATTAATATATTTTTCGTCTTCGTATATTACGTGTGTGTATGACTACTTGTAATTAAATTGTGTCTTCTGCCTCTTCATTTTGTGATTAGATTGCTTCTTTAACATGTTTTTGAAGGTCCCTAGGTGTATGGTGACTCTTTGTACTTGTAATGCAAATCCAGCTTTCTTTTTACATACTTTTGAGTGCTTGTGATAGTTTTTGCATCCCTTGGGGATGCGGGGAGCAAAACTATGCCATTTTCCAGCTTGTCCAACAAAGCTACAGAAGGAGGCATTAGTGTGAGAGAGTATTACTATAATTAAAGGGTGGGAATGTCCTTTTTCTGTTACTGTGTCTCATCTGAAATGCAGACGCTGCAGAGAATCTTTCTGTGGGCCGTGAATGTGTAGAGAGCGGAGTGGAGGATCGTGGTCAGGTAAAACCGAAACATGGTGCTAAGGAGAAACAGAGCCCCCCCCCCAACCTTTCTCACCTCACTACACACAATTGTGAATACCAAGGGACAGAACTGGCAGGCAAAGTTCAAAGCTGTCAATGAATAATAGATTTCTTTCATAACAAGCACTAATCACAGTGCTGGACCAGGTAGCTGCAAGTCACAAAGACTATAAAGCAAACTGCTGTCTGCTTGTGTGTAATGAGGAGGGAGGGTCAGGACTGCTGTCTTCGTTGTGTGCATTTGTACAGAGTGGCACCGTCTCTGTACAGACCCATCCTTAGTTTGGTCTGGTGGTACTCTAGCGATCCACCAGCACCACCCAGTGGATGGGGGGCAGAGTCACCCTCTCTGTCTGTGTCAGAGTTCCCTTCTCTGCTCCGAAACTGGAGGATCACAGCTCCTGATCCAGCCACAGGCCTAGCAATAACCCACCCCGGTGTTCCTTTACCCTTCTTTCCCACTACCTCCCCAAATCCACCTTGAAGCACTTATGTGTCAGACTTTGTCTAAAAGTCCTCTTTTTCAGCTTCAGTCCAATGTGGGTCTTTAGTCAGGGGCTATATGAATCAAATGATTCAAGGCACTATATTTCTATTCACTGACCATGTGAAAACCACCACAGTTGTTTTTCTTTCAATAATCCACGTATTCTCTATCAGTTGTGTTAGACGTGAGATGCGTCTTATTTTCTTAAATTTCCTTTATCTCTCTTAACTCTAATGCCACTTTGACGTCCATATCAGATAATGATTAAATTCTCTATCTATTTTCTACTTTTTTCTATATATACTGTACAAGAGCAGTTTTTTGTACAATATTTATGGCTCCCTTATAATGATCCATTAGTTACATTATTTAGTTTGCACATATTACATATTAGAAGTTTTTACTGGACTGGAACTAGATTTGTAAAATCTTTGAGGCACTTATTCCATCACCGTGTTAATTAGCACTTGCTTTTCTTACCCCATTTAGCATCTCTGTGTGTTTTTACCCTCTCCACGGTTTTGGTGCCCTTATTGTACCCTAAATTTGTAATGACCTCCCTCCCCATTGCTCCGTACCCTAACTGCCCAGCCCCTTTTTCCTCTACAACGATTACATTCCAAGAGGCCATCTTGAAAGGGAGCTGTGTGTCCTCCAAGTACCCAGTTATGGCTCTGTTTTCTCATTTTTGTCCTTCACATTTCCCCCTAGACGTGTGGAGGTGTGGTTAAAGCAGGGCTGGAGACTAGCATTGACAAGCCTCTACTGCAGACCCCCTCCCAGCGACGACCCCGGGAGCCAGACGATGGTAAGAAAACAGTTTCAAATCTGCCAAGGAAAAGACTTAAAAAATCCAAAATTTAACGGTTCGCCACCCTTCCAGACTCCCTTGAAGACCTGCCGCGGTCAGCCTGCAAACGGCCCAAACTAGATGTTTCTTTGGACGAGTGGGACCTCTCTGGCCTTCCCTGGTGGTTTCTGGGTAATCTCCGTAGTAACTATAGCCGTAGGAGCAACGGCTCCACTGACATCCACACAAACCAAGTAAGAAACCTCCTTTGTAGTTGAGGTTTAGTAACAGCTTGCTGAGGGTTAACTTAAAAGCAGACTTATTACTTGTGGGCAAATGGCGTGAATTGGAGAGTAACAGTGGTGGTCTGACTGATGTGTCAGCTATCTCCTGCACAGGAGGAGGACACGGCCATCGTGTCTGACACTACCGACGACCTTTGGTTCCTGACCGAGGGCGGGAGTGAACAGGTGAGCGTGGAAATGAAGGAGGCGGCACTGGAGGAAGGGAGCAGTGGAGAAGAGGAGGCTCTGTCTGATGACAATGAAGGAGGGAGGGAGGAGAAAGCAGATCGCGAGGTAAGAATTTGTTTAGGACTTCATAGGCCAGGCTCATACCAGATATCATTTTTTAAATAAATATATTTACACTCTACGACTTTTCAATCAAGTCACGGCGATCTACCGGGGGCGGGGGGGGGATTGTAGTTGGGCGAACAAACCAAACGGAACAATAATGCTGCATACCTTGAACGCAAAACGAATCAGTATAAAAAAACGAGCCTCTCATCTGTCAGAAGCCAGGGTTTGCTTTTGAATGAAATTAAATGTCTGTTGGTAAGCAATGATCGCTCATTAGCACCAAGATTTCCCTCAGCTCCTGCGGTCGACTGCGCATGCGCAATGACCCGAAGTGATTTTTTTCTCGACGCCAGGCAGTCTACCAGCACTGCCCTAGCGATCAACATATTGGGCACCCCTGCTCTAGGATAATAAAACTAGATGTTTGATCAATGACTATTTTATACTATGTTTGTATATCCAGATGCAGGAAGAGCCTGATGAAGACTCACAGTGCCTAAGCGATGACACTGATACAGAGATCTCCACACAGGTTTGTTTTAGGTTTTGATTTTCTATTGTTAAAATGTAAACCATGCAGGTGTGTGACTTTGTATTTCCCTTTCCCGATAGGATGCCTGGCAATGCACAGAGTGCAAAAAGTATAACACACCTCTCCAGAGGTACTGTGTTCGCTGCTGGGCTCTACGTAAGAATTGGTACAAAGATGTCCCTCGACTCGCCCATTCCCTTTCTGTCCCCGACATCCCAGCATGCAGCTCTCTCCCAACCAATGATGAGGAAGATGACAGTGACACGGGCATCGACATCCCAGACTGCAGCAGGACAGTCTCTGACCCTGTCATCCTGCCCTCCCACTCCACAGCTGACCGACCACTGCCCACTATGGCTACAGGTAAAGTGAAAGGTCCTTGGCCCCCTGGCTTCCACAAGGATGGGAAGCTCTCAGGAGGGGCGAGTCAGGACAACCCTGGCATGGAAATCGAAGATGAGAAGCTTAGGGAACTGTTGGAGCCTTGCAAGCTGTGTCGAGTGCGACCACGCAACGGAAATATAATTCACGGACCTACAGCTCACCTTTTAACCTGTTTCCCATGTGCAAGAAAGTTACACAAGTTCAATGCTCCTTGTCCAGGATGTGGGATGATCATTCAAAATGTTATTAAGGCATTTGTAGTCTAAAAGGAACACACCTGTTAAGCCCTGGGGAACTTGACAAATAACCCAAACACATTGACCAATGCATGCACTCTGGTTCACGTGCTTATCGTAGATACGCACAACATGTGCACCTTATGCTTAAAAGTCAACACAAAATATAGCACTTGGTGAAGCTTGTTTTTGGTTGCATGATATATTCAGTATTTTGGGATGAGAAACCTTGGACATAAAAGTTTGTCATACAGAATTGGTGCCAGATTTAAATAAGGCAGATAAAAAGGAAGACTTATTTATTTATTTATTTATTAGAAGGTCACCTAAAAGTGCATGTTCCTGTGAGCCATTTGATTTCATGAAAGCTTGCTTTTTCAGGCTGGATTTTCCCATTGGTTTTCCTTTTTATTGTGCCATTGGAAACATGAAAGTATTGCTTGCTTTAGTTCTGTTATTTGTACGTGATTTTTTCCAAAAATGAAAAATCAGTGCAAGTATTAAACTAAACAAACAAATATTATTGTTTTATTAACCAATTTAATATCCTCTTAGGTATTGTTGCTCTGACATTTGAGTTGTCAAGTCAAAATTGAAGGACGAGCAGGAGAGAATCTTGATTTTGTTAACAGCTTCAGCTCTGATCTTAAAAGTTTCTTAGAAGAAGAGATACACCTACTGTAATTTATGAAGATGGCTGGCTTAAGTGCTTTTTCTCTAAACATTGTATTTTAAAATTTAGAATTGAATTGAACCTGCTTGAGAATGCACACCTTGAGTATTTAATGTAATTCCCTTTCGGGTAGTAATTTGAAGGTTATATGTGTTCAATATCGTGTTTACTATTCCCAAGCCACTGCTGAGTTTTGCCTGCAGTAAGTTAGTTCTGTAATTGTTGGTTTAACATTTAAATATTACTGTTCAGAAAAGGTACTTTACATCCATTCCTGAACATATGCTAAAGGAACAATTTCTGTATATTTTGTATTTAATTTATTTATGATTTAGGTTTGATTAGATGACCACCTCTAATGAAGCAGGAAAAGGCTGCACTCGTTACAGATCTCTAATGTGTAAATTTACATAAGACTTTATGAAAGTTATACGGAGTCATAAACTAAATAACTAAATGTACCATGTCAGAAAATGAATGTGGGGTATGTATTGGGAGTTTGCTTTCAGCGTTACACTGCCATGTAATGACGCAGAATTTTTATTTGTGTATCATAGATTTTATTTTGATGGAATATTGGAAGACTGTATTGCTGGATCACGTAGATATGATTTACTCTCCGTAAACATGTGAGCGGCCTGATTACACATAAAATGTACAGATGTCAGGGGACACAACGCCTTTAACTCTTGGCTCGGCCTTGTGAAGAGGGAATATTACAGATCTTCAAACTGTTCTTTACTTGCGTTAAACTTTTCTGCCAGCAGGTGGGGAGACCTCTGAATTATGGTATCTGGTGTAGAGTACTTACGACAGGTAACTTTACAAGACGATAGAGCATGCCTCCCGTCATGACTAGTCAGCACTGAGCTGGTGTAAGACCTATAGTAACTACATAAAAGCTATAACAGGGTTAATGGACCTGTTGTATTTATCGCCACAATTGTGCTTCAAGAAAAAGAAACTTGATTTAATATCTGCTAAAAAAGGCTTTGCTCACATATTCTGGTTCAGACATACTGACTTGTTACAGTTATTGATGTTAAGTTTTTAGTGTGCTCAAACACAACTTATTTTTTTTTTTAACCTGTCAAGGAATTAGTTTTGTTAAGCAATAAAGGGTTGAGTTGATTGTTTCATTGAGTTGACTTGCTGACCAGAGGGAAAGTTGATGTCCCCACTAGTGATAAGAGATAAGTGGGTGTTTTGGCTGAAGAATAAGTTATTGTGTGACAGGCCAGCTGTCGTGTGTGTGTCCTCTCCAGCTCGACTGAGCCTCTCTGCTTGTGTCTACTGTGTGTTTGAGACAGACACACGATCTTCTTGTCTGCACCATGTATTGCATTAGAGTCTCAACCTTAACCCAGGTCGTTTATGGATAATATCCATAATACACAAATCAGTAATGTCAAAATCATTTTAAAGCTCTTTGAAGCTATTTATTTAGTCAATAGTAGTATAAGAGTATTATCGGTTATTTGTACTATTAAAGGTAAAATTATCTTATTAGAGGTTGGAACTGGCTTGTATAAAGAATAAAAAAATGATTTTCTTCTATCAACTGATACATCATCTAATCATTTAAGCTCTAATTTAAAGTACGAGTGGTTAGTTTAATTTGCAATAATGCACCATGAGATTTAGTTTATGAAGTCTGACTAAAATAATTGAAGTGGAAATACTCAAGTAAGACTATTTTGTTTAATCTGTACTCGAGTACAGTACTGGACTACTTATTTGCATTCCACAACCGGTGAGGATCACGTTGTTGTCGTCCCTGTGACTTGCTATACAGTATCAAGTGCTTGTAACTGCCATACTAAAATGCTTTCCCCACTTACCACATGGTTCGGTCCGCGGCGTCACGCAGCGTTGAGAAAAACGCTGCAACCGCCCTGTTGACATGACACCCACAGCTTGGCAGGTCTTGAACGCCACAGCCCAGGGAGTGGTAGTGGATCTGTATGTTTCCATAGCGACAGTACATCTATCCACCCAGAATAACTTGACACATTATCCCCTTTTGCATATATGCAATACTCTCAAACATGGCTCTCATATACTATAACTGGCTTTATTGTACTTCAATGCACCTTTATAATTAGACATGGCATTTCCTTTCTCTCTTGTCGGCTTTCTCTGCATCCCGCCAGTCTGTTTACCCTCCTTTGCTTCTTCCTGGTTGTGTGTCTGGATAACTGAAACTGTATATACACACTCAACACACGCACGCACGCTTTCCCTCTGTTGTGTTCGGCTATTTGGTCACTGCAGAAACCATGCCGCTAAATTTGTCCCGCTGCTGACATGGGAGAACGTCCGTGGAGCCAAAGATCTAGGAAAAAAAGGCAGGAATAAGAATTTACACAAATGGAAGGAAATCAAGCTGCGACGCACAACACAAGATTTTAGGGAAAACCATTTTAAGATTTGCTAGTTGCAGCAGTAGGAGGTCTGATATGGAAGATGGTCATAGTTTCCACTCACATCTCACAACACTGCAGTCGTACACACACCCCAACCTTCAGACAGCGGTCGGCCGTATCTCTCGGAGGAACAATGCAGGTTGTGGTTTATACATGGTCTTGGTGTAAATTGCCTTCAAATTACACTGGATAGTTTTTATGGGGGCTTAGATTTAACCTCTGAGACCTTTCTGATTGACAGGAAATTACATTATTATTATTACATGCTATTTTGAGTTTTCACACAACCTGTGGCATTGTTGGAATATGATGTCACTTTAATAATCCTGTTTCCATACAGTGCAGCATGGGCTATTTACAGTATATGTCTTTAAGGGCTGCCATGTGCTGCAAAATATGGTAGTGGGAAGTGGGTTATGTGCATAGGAATGAGTATGCATACGTGTTTGTCCGTGTGTGTTGGAGCCTCGCAGGGAGCGGGATGCCGACACGGGGAAAGGCAGCGGATGGCTCAGGGGGCTCAGTCCATTCCTTCGATTTAACATGACACCACTCGCACTAAGACCGCGACAGCTGCATATGCACATGCCTGCCTTTCTGTTTGTTGTAGGGGATTACCCTGCAATAAAAGCCCCAGTGAGCAGCAGCATGACTGGGCTACAGAACTACTGTTTCCCTCCCTGACTTACAGAGCTTTCTCCAGGCCTTTCAGAGCCATGTGAAAACACAGGTGTGGGCACTTCATTCTGAACTGCAGTGAATGGGAGTATTCTCCCGATGATTAGTTGGGCCGTAGTAGTGTCACTTCACCTTCAGGCATCAAACGGCCCAGCACTGCACCTTATGCAAGGTTCATTACTCAACAGAATTAATGCACGCATCGTGGAGGAGTAATCAGGTCAGACCCGTTCAATCCCCTCACAGTAGTCGGGTGATTGATTTGCTTTCACTGTATTTTATTAATGATTATCTCGCAGGATTAAGCTGCTTTGTCATCTCTTAGCAATAATGTGTGGTCAGCAAAAAATCAGTATGATCTGAGCGAAGAGATTTAAAAAAAAAACATTATCGTAATGTTCGGTGATTCTGAGGCGACCTAAATTGGGCATCTGTTGCTGTCACTATGGTGACCATGTTCCCTCTGGAAGGCACTTCGCTAGTAGAGATTATTGTAACTTGAGTCCAGACTTCAACTAGAACAATTCATGCCACTAGTAAAGTTTAAATACAGAAATAGAAACATTTCCTTTGTGTCAATGCACCCACTGTTTTGGGTAATGGTATACAGGTTGAGACCAGGTCTGTGTATTGATAAAGTTAAATGATTTCAAAAAATAAATGCATTACATATAAAGGAACTATTTCACATTCTATGAAAATTGGTCTTTAAAGCAAAATGATAATAGCAAGTTACCTAATGGTTTCACGGAAATGGGTCTTAAAGTGGTTGCAATGAATTGAATTGGGAAGGACTATGTTTTAGTTTTAACTTAAGAGACAACTTGGTGTTCAATTAGTAAACTTCCAATTAATGAATTCAAAATAATTGTTTGCTAACTTAAGAGCCCTTTTGTTGCACCACAGAAAAATACTGTTGAACACAAAAAAAGTCAAATTTGTATTTAGTTGGACATACAACTTAAACAAATATGATGCATACGGTTTAGATGATGAATTGATGATCAATTAATATTAACCATGGGTGAAAAGAATCTCCGGAACTCTCATAACGTCTCTGTACTATAAATTCTACCACACCATATAGTTACTGTATATCATGGTCATATGGTCACTGGTTATTGTGATTATAGTATCTCCTTGTTTATCTCCCTTTAATCAACACTACTTTACTCTTGTTATGTTATTCTCCTCGTACATATCTGAGATTTCCCGACAGCGCTCATATAACAGTTCTCCAGGTCAGTGATGATCTTGAGGCTAACCTGGGGTGAGGAGGACTGATCCCTCCCCCCTCCTCCCTTCTGCTCAGCTGTCCTGCAATGTGCTGCCGCTTGTCACAGAGGAGAATTGGAACAGTGTTGCCAGTGACAGGGCAACGCCTGCACACACGTGCGCACACACATTTTTCAGTGTAAATTATTTGGCTTCTGCTTGTTCTGTTTTAAATGCCAGTTATCTTGGTTATCTGACAGACTTACAGCAACTTATATTGCTTTCCTTGAAAATTTGAAAATTGTATTACTATACAAATATATTTTTATGTTACCTCTTACATGTGGGGAATGAGGCGCAAAGATCTAAGATATGACGTGCAAGGGTCCCAAAAATATGTATAAATCAAATGTAGTTCATTTTTATAAAACATATTTTGTTCGTCTGGGTTGACTGAAGTTAGGAGGCAGGATACAAAAGTGTGGTATCTGCAAACAATAAACTCCAGATATCTTGTTTACTGTTTCTCAAGTGCTCACTTCAAAATGTTAAGAGGGGACAAGTGTGTGCCTGAAACGCCTTCAAAACAAACGCACACACGCAAGCTCTCTGGTTCTGCTGACAATGGGTTACAATGACAGAAGGTTATGAGTGACTCTGACACACTGCAGACCCCCTCCCTGCTGTCCCCCTGAGAGCAACACAGGCGCCTTTGTACTCGCTCCACCATCAGTGACTATCCATCACAGACTAACCCGACAGCCCACCGCCAAGCCTTGACTCTGCACTCTACCTCCCCGAGCCACTAGCCAGTCCTCCCAGAGGTGTTCTTGGGTCGTGAATAAAGAAGTCATCTGATCCTTTTACTCGCCAAACATCGTTTGATTGTAAATGTAGCTTATTTTTTTAGATCCCAAAATGTGAGAATAAATAAGTAGAACACTGGTTTACATCACAACTAAATGGTATAGCAATATGTAGAATTCAAGAAGTGAATAATGAATAGAAACTATTGGCAACTTGCTTGCAAATCGCTTAATCCTCCCCACCTGTATCATGTATGTATGTTGTATATTTCTCTTGCTAGTGAGCATTTTCTGTTTGTTTTCACATATATTTATGTCTCCTGAGCACTTGCCCTTATTAAAGCCAATGAGAGGTCTCAGGATGATCTAGAGCTCTGTAAAAAGCAGATATTCCAACTTGTAATACTAGGAAGACCCCAGGTGTGATTATTATGATTACAGCTCTGATCCATGTGGGTGCTCGTGGAGGATCCCCCCACCTCCCCCTCCCGCTGAGCGCGATATATCACGACTCTGACACACTTATATAAAATGCACCAAAGATAAATGTTATTAGTAACACCTGCGGATTTCTGTCTGCCATGACGCACTTCATAATACCCACTCTTTGAAGGGATATGCTGTGAATTAGCTCTCAGCGGAAAGTCCAAGACACTACTACTCAGAGTTTGTCTTAAAGAGTTTGTCACTGAGCACTATGCTGTTAGCAAATGGCAGCTTGTAGGAATAACTATAGAGCTCCTGATCAGACTACTGAGAAATTAATTTACATATATAAAAGAAAGTGACAAATATTTACATTTACAATATTTACATACATTGCTTTAGCTTTAGTTAATACACTTTGTCAACTGAAGTGTATTAACTACTGTAACAAGAAACGAGTTTCTAAGTGACCACACAGTCCACACGATGATGCGGTGTTCTTCTCATTGTCTCTATAAACATTTTTATTTAACAACCTATAGCTTTATATATATATTTTTTCTCCATTTTAATCATCTTTAAAGATCC